CCCTTCCTCTTTCTCTAAAATCAATAAAGAAACAAATTTTTTAAAAATAGAATTACTTGGAGCCCAGGTGGTGTGGCTCAGTGGAATGAGCTATGTCCCATGGACTGAGAGGTCCAGATTCAATTCCTGGTCAGGGCACATGCCTGGGGTTGCTTGCCGATCCCCAATAGGGGATGTGCAAGAGGTAGCTGATGGATGTTTCTCTCTCACATCAATGTTTCTATCTCTCTTTCCCTTCCTCTCACTCTAAAAATACAATAAAAACATAAAAATATAATATCTTTTAAAAAAGAAGAATCACTTGGAGGTCCTAACTTCAGCTACTATGAATGTATAGTCACGTACTATTTACAAAACAAAGTGTATAGCTGCATTTCATTGTTACATTCTCATATTGTCAGGTTTTTTTGAAGAAAAAGGCAAGCAAATATTTAAATTAAATTAAATCATCATTGGACCTGTTCAGAATATATTTGAAATATAAATTCAGTGCTTTCCCCAAAACACAGTTGAGAACTGAAAAGAGAAAGCAGAAAGTTGATTAAGCAAATGCTAAGTTAAAGAATCATTGCCTTCCCTCACAACATTTTATTTTTATTCACTATATTCCCTGGCACATTTAAAATGGTAACATTTCAAGCATGCTTTGAATGTAAATAAGCCTTTTCTTCTAGCAAAGAAAATGCTATTATAAGTCTTTTTAAAGTTAAGATTATTTTATTAACAACAAAAAACTCTAAGAATAACAATGAATCAATTGTACATACCCAAATTGAAAAATGATTATTTTTAACTAATGAAGGATATAAACATGAACAAGAGAAGCATGAAATTATTTTTATAATTACTAAGCCATTCATAGCTGCAAAGATAACTAATACATTTCAGCATAAATTTCCAATGCTCATTTCTTTATCACAGCTCATATCCCACAATTCCCTAGGACCCATGGTTCCATGGTGCATCCAACATTGTCTCATTTCTGAATGCTGCCTTGGCCAACTGGGAGAAAAAAAATGGATGAACAATTTTTAAAGATTAAAAAAATATATATTTATCTGATTTTTAGAGAGAGAGAAAAGGAGAGGAAGAGAGAAATGTCATCACTGTGAGAGAGAAACATGCATAGGCTGCCCTCTGCAAAACCCCCTACCAGGGATCAAGCCTGCAACCCAGGTATGTACCCTGACGGAGAATTGAACCAGCAACCTTCTGGTGTACAGGACAAAGCCCAACCAACAGAGCCACACCAGCCAGGGTAATATGGATGAAATTTGATCAGAATAAGAAGTGATCCCAATTATTAGGACAATGTCCCTGTACTGGTGATGGTAGCCCTCCCCATCTTTTTTTATTTCTGTAGAAATTCATCAACCATTATCTTATTGCAAAAAGTAGTGAATACCCCACCTTCCATGTGTGTCAAAAACTCCTACAGGGTGTGTTAAAATGCATTTGCCAGGGCCCAATCCTACTCTGATCCAGGAGTGGCTTAGGTGGGGCTTAGGAATGGGAATTTTCATTACAGTACATGCTACATTAGTTTGCTAGGGCTGCCATAACAAAATACCCTAGACTGTGTGGCTTAAATGACAGGAATTTATTTACTCACAGTTCTGAAGGCTAGAAGTCTATGATCAAGATGTCAGTAGGGCCCTGGCTGGTTTGGCTCAGCGGTTAGAGCTTCGGCCTACGGTCCAGAGAGACCCGGGTTCGGTTCCCACTAAGGGCACGTACCTCAGTTGCAGTTTGTCCCTGGCCCTGGTCGGTCGTGCGGGTGGTAGCCACTCGATGTGTTCCTTTCACGTCGATGTTTCTCTCTCTCCCTCCCACTCTACCTGAACAAAAAATGGAAAAATGTCCTCGGGTGAGGATAAAAAACAAAAAAGATGTCAGTAGGTTTGGTTTCTCCTGACATCTCTCTTTTTAGCTTGCAGATAGTTGTCTTTCCCTAGTGTTTTAAAACAGTCTTTCCTCTGTGCAAACACACTCCAGGTGTCTCCATCCAAATTTCCTTCTTTCACAGTGACACCAGTCATATTGAATTAGGTCACACCCTGAAGGCCTCATTTTAATTTAGTCACCTCTTTAAAGGCCCCATCTCCAAATATAGTCACATTCTGAGGCACTAGAGATTAGGGCTTCAACATATGAATTTTGTGGGGAACAATTCAGCCTATAACATGTGTCCTAGTATATCTTAGTGTCCTAGTGATATAGGTGGCTCAAGGTTCACGGCTAGTCAAACACCAATTTAGTCTCTAGGTAAACTAAATGTGTACATTCACCTCAGTCATTTAGTTTATGTGGCTTAAAACATGTGACCTCTTCCAGGACAGTCTTGCTACTTTGGTCCAAAAGAAAATTAGCACTTGGTTTCCATCCTTATTGTCAACTATGCTACATAAAATAGCCTCTACAACCCACCCTGTTGGTCTCTTTCTCCTTTGCTTTATTTTTTTCTCCACACTTATCACCACCTGACATGATGTCTGTTTTTCCTCAGTAGAATGTAAGCTTTACTTTATTTTGCTCATCACTGTACCTCCAGTTGTAGAACAGTGAATGTCCTTACGGTGATCTTGCATTCCTTCTGTGATGCAAAAGGCAAGGTCTTCTGCTGAGGAACTGGGGAGGTGGTAGGGAAGGAGGACTGAAAAGAATTACGAAGGTTTTAATATCCTTTATGGAGAATGTGAGAAGATTAGAAGGAATTTAAGAAGAGAGGCTGAGCAGGGTTCAGAACCCAGCTAAATGTGGAGCCCATGGGAGTCTATTTGCACTGCCATGTATGTGAACTCCAGAAGTTCTCACAGCCTGGACAAGCCCAGTGAGGGCAAAATGGTTATTTTGATTCCTCAGTGACCACCATTGCTCAGCATAACATTTTAGCTCTTTCACAGTAAGTCCCTATTTACCTTACCTACTTATTTTTCAGCTACACTAAGTTTCTTTGTTTTTTAACTTAATTTTTTAAAATTTCCTTTCCTTTATTGATTTTTTAGAGAGAGAGGAAGAGAGAGATAGAAACATCGATGAGAGAAAACATTGGCCACTTTCTGCATGCCTTTCATTGGGGATTTGGCCCACAACCTGGGCATGTGCCCTGACTGGGAATTGAACCAGTGACCTCTTGGTGCTTGAGTCAATGCTCAACCACTGAGCCACATCGGCTGGGCAGTTTCTTTCTTTTTTTAATCCTCACCAGAGGACATGCTTAGAGAGAGAGAAACATGGACCAGTTGCCTTCTCTACTAAGGACCAAACCTGAAACACAGGTATGTGCTCTGACTGGGAATCGAATAAGTAAACTTTTTGTGCACAGGACAACGCTCAATCAACTAAGTCACTCTGGCTGGGCACTAAGTTTCTTTTTCTTCCTTAAACATTTTTGTATCTTGGCTTTCTTAGTGCTGTTCCCTTTGAAGTCCCGACCTTCTTGGCTAACTTGTGTTTGTCCTTTAAAGACTAGTTCAAATATTATATTTTGAAAATGTTTTCCAATTTCCTCAAATATTAGCACAGTTTGGAATACAGACCTAGGTTCATGACCAGGCTGTCATCTTTACTGTATGATCTTCAGCAACATATTACATTTTTTTTCCTTCAATTTCCTGATCTGTAAAATGGATAGTGATAAGACCTGTTTCAAAGAACTATTTGAAAGTGTTAAATGAGATAATATAATTAAAGCACCTGGTACCTAACTGATCAGGAAATGATTTCGTTATTGCAATTATTTGTATGTCTCCCTCTTGAAAAGTATTTTTTTTTCTTTATTGATTTTACAGAGGGAGAGGGAGAGAGAGAAACATCCAGGAGAGAGAATATTGATTGGCCTCCTCCTGCATGCCCCCCACTGGGGATCAGGCCCACAACCTGGGCATGTGTCCTGACTGGGAATCAAACCGGGCATCAAACTGGGCACCTCTTGGTGCATGGGTCAACGCTCAACCACTGAGCCACACCAGCCAGACTTGAAAGTTTTTTAAAAGCGGGTATCATGCCATGTTCATCTTTTTATTCCTAACATTTGATACAGTGGCTGGCACACTAAATTCTCCAGAACTGTGGAATAAATTATTGGTTAATGGAATGAAACGGTATTTGAAGATGCTACTAAGGTATTTAGTTTTCTCCTGAGTTAAAATTTCAGCAAAGAAAAACCAAGTCTTGGAAATGCACAATTAATTGCACAGGGAAGAGTCAGCTCTGGTAATGACAGAAAAAACTTCTTCAAGGAAATAGGATACACACAGAAATATGAAAAACTGAAGCCATTATTCTGTCAGGCAAATCAGACATGGACCTGTGCTCATGAGCTTATGGATGGATACATCGTCCTATCGCAATACCCAGTGCATACCAATTACCACATTTACTGAATTTAGTATTTTTCGTCTCTTTCAATGGAATAAACTTTGAGAAGAGCAGTTTCCTATTTAACCTTGGCTCTCCACCACCCAGAAGTATTTAATAACAGCTAGAGCTCAATAAATGCTTAGGGAGAAGGACGTGGCATAAAGGAAGTGAAACAACTAGTAGCCCTAGTGGAACTAGACACAGAGAACTCGTTCCCCCACGAAGAGCAAATTTCTCATCCCAAGATGCTGGGTTTCCCACGTGACAGAAAGAAACCATTTCTGGACATCAGCGATCCCAGAACCTGGCTTGAAAAAGCTTCCACAGGACCTAATCGCATTATATAACTTAAACCGCCGCAATCTCAAGAGTACCAGACCAGAACCTATTTAAACTGACTATGCTCATCAGCAGGCCACACCCTCAACTCCAAACCAGCCAATCCAAACTTCTAGACTCGGTAGCGCGGTGTCTTCTGGGATCTGTAGGCTTCCCACGTTAGGGTCTCCTTTAGCTCATGACTACAATGCCCGGCATCCACTGGGCTCCAAGTCCGGCCGCCCTCTTCCAGGGGGCGGAGCCCAGGGCGAACCGGAGGGGCGGGTCTTCGCCTCTTTCTTCTTCCCCAATGGGGCTGGGAGTGGTGCGGGGGTGGGGACGGTGATTCCCACGTGGTGCGGTGTTTCGGTCGCCGTCTTTGGTCGTCGCTGACTTTCTGGGCCTGGGCATCCGCTGCCTGCGGAGATGCCGAAGATTAAGTCGGGGGCGAGTGCCCGTCGCCTCGAGCGGCAGCGACAGCGCCGGGAGCTGAAGAGCGCCGGAGGTGGGTGAGCCAGCGGGGAGCAGAGGTCCGGTGGGGAACTTCACATAGGACCAAACCCGGGACCTGGACCGAGATCTGGGCCGGGACAGTGGGGCTGCTCGGGGCCCGTGCCGCCGGAGCGCGCAGGTCCCGGGAGCCCGGGGGCCGGCCGCAGGTGCTGCGCGCCGTCCCTGGCTCCCTTCCCCACAGGAGGGGTGGACTTGGTGTGTCAGGCCCGGCTCCAAGCGTGACGTTTAGTGCGTCTTGGCGCAGAAGTCTTCTGTCCACCGACCTGCTTTCTTCTCTGGGACGGTCTAATAGCTAATTTTAGTTGGAAAATTAAGGCCATTTCATGTTTTCTTTCAGGACTCATGTTCAACACCGGGATTGGGCAGCACATTTTGAAAAATCCTCTCATTGTTAACAGCATTATCGATAAGGTGGGTGTGGAAAAGGAAAGGGAGAGAGTTAATTGGGTAATTATTATTTGGAATATTTAAGCGCAGAGAGGATGCTTGGCACAAAATAGATTCTCTATAAAGACTTGAATGAATTGAAGAATATTCTAGGTTTCACAAGCTGTCTTTTGCCATGATTTGCTTCATTTTGTGGGTCTGGGTTTCTACTGGTTACATATTTTTTTTTTTCCTATCGAATATTCACTCCATAGCTGGACATTTGTTCAATTTCTTATGATTATTATTACCCAATCAGTTTTTCTAGGCACCACCTATGACTTAGTTTTTATTTAGTCTAGAGCTTAAAGATATGTCTAAACAGACATTTTAGGAAGTTTGTTTCCACAGAGAAACTTTTCTGCTACAATGCAGTTCTACATATAAACTCTTTGGAATATTTCTTCTTTATGGGTTATTGATGTTCTCTATTGTTATGGATGATTGTAGATGCTAGGACATGAAATATAGGAGGTGCGTATTACTTCTGTGGCTACAAAGGAAAAGCATCCTGGAGCAGTAGAAAGAGCATTACATAATTGAAGGATCTCATCTTGACTTCCTGTTATTTGCAAAATGAGGGTTGGCCTAGCTTTTTAACATTTTTGGCTCATGGCCCTGGGCGGTTTGGCTCAGCAGTTAGAGCGTCGACCTGCGGTCCTGAGAGACCCGGGGTTCGGTTCCCGCTAAGGGCGCGTACCTCGGTTGCAGTTTGTCCCCGGCCCTGGTCGGTTGTGCGGGTGGCAGCCACTCGATGTGTCCCTTTCACGTCGATGTTTCTCTCTCTCTCTGTTCCTCTCTCTCCCTCCCACTCTACCTGAACAAAAAATGGAAAAATGTCCTCGGGTGAGGATAAAAAATAAAAATAAAAAACATTTTTGGCTCATGGATTCCTTTGAATATCTGGTAATAACTGTGGATCCAGAATGCCACAGCTGTGTACATAGAAACACCCATTATTGTGTACAATTTCTATGTACTCCTGCATCCCCGGAAACATACATGGGCTGACAATTGAGAAATCCTGGTACAGCACAGCTATGATTCTCAGGCAAGGTCATTATATACAGTCCTTTCCAGTTTGAACTTACTGATAACAGAGTTGGTAACAAGATGGTATTGAAATCATTTCCAAGGTAGAAAGCAAAATGCCAATCCCAGAAAGAACTGCTTTTCTGACTCCTAACTATTGCCCCAAGTTAGGAGAGGTGTCAAATTTCCACTTGCACCAAATGTTAGATAATTTTAATAAGCATATAGATCATGAAGGAATTCCTAAAAATGTAGTTAGAATAAAATCTATTTTAAAAAGAATGTATGGCCCTGGCCAGTTTGGCTCAGCGGTTAGAGCGTCGGCCTGCGGTCCTGAGAGACCCGGGTTCGGTTCCTGCTAAGGGCGCGTACCTCGGTTGCAGTTTGTCCCCGGCCCTGGTCGGTTGTGCGGGTGGCAGCCACTCGATGTGTCCCTTTCACATCGATGTTTCTCTCTCTCTCTCTGTTCCTCTCTCCCCCCCCCCCCCACTCTACCTGAACAAAAAAATGGAAAAATGTCCTCGGGTGAGGATAAAAAAAAAAAGAATGTATGTTTTTATTGATTTTAGAGAGAGAGGAAAGGAGAGAGAGAGAAACATCCATGTGAGAAAGAGACATCCATCAGCTGCCTCCTGCACACCCCCTACTGGGGATCAAGCCCACAACCCCAGCATGTACCCTGACCAGAAATCGAACCAGCAACCCTTTGGTACATGGGACTACACTCAACCAACTGAGCCACACAGACCAGGGCAGAATAAAATCTCTTAACTGAGCACTTTCAAGCAAAGATATTCAGGTATAAGTTAAATTATGTGGTCAGTTGTGCCAGTAAAGCTAAAGTGGTTGTGTTTGCTTACAGGCTGCCTTAAGACCAACTGATGTGGTGCTGGAAGTTGGACCTGGAACTGGCAATATGACTGTTAAGTTGCTAGAAAAGGCAAAAAAGGTAAAAAGGATTTCATTTTTGGTATCAGAAATGGCTATGGTTTACAAATATAAGTCTGTTTTAATACATTGCTATTATTTTAACAATAACTTGTGATCCTTTGCTAGAAACTTTACCTTACAAAATAAGGGTGAAATGGGTAAAGGTGGTCAAATGGTACAAACTTCCAGTTATAAAATAAGTCCTGAGAATGTAATAGACAGCATGGTGACTATAGTTAACAATACTGTGTATTTGAAAGTTGCTAAGAGAGTAGATCTTAAAAGTTATAAAACAAACAAAAAAATTGTAACTGTGTGGTGATGGGTCTTAACCGGATTTATCTTGGAATATATACATGTTATCATTATGTTGTACACCTGAAACTAATATGTTATATGTCAACTATATCTTAATTTTTTAAATGGGTTAAAAAAATGTGGGAAGTATCAGTCAGGAAAACAGAAACCACATTTGATATTTCAATACAGGGAAATTAGTATAAGAAATTGGTTACATGTTTGTTACAGGACTAAAAGAATAAAATGAGAACATTGAGGTAACCTAAGAATAACAGTTGCAAAGAGCAGCTATCACCTCTAGGCTCAGGGAAACAAAGTAAGGAGTGTTATTGGAACCTAGAACTTTGGAGGAGGAGATACTAAGAGCTGGAGCACAGGCCACTGTGTTTGGGGTGCCACTTGGTCACTGCTAGTTTCTTCTTTTTCTCTTGGCTGATCCAGTTTCCAGTAAAATGGAACCATTTTAAAGCACATATTTGAAGAGAGTTCAGTGAAGAGACTATTTACGAAATGTGTGGGAATTGGGTTAAAGGAAACCAGTAAGCATTAGTGAAAGACCCAGGGACTAGCAACAGCAGGTAGCAGCTACCATTCAAAGGACCCAAGGGGCGAGAGGAGGGAACTAACTGTGTTACTGAGCCATTGAACAAGGGCTACTGATAGTGGAACACAGCCACTGCCAGAACCCCTGCAAGGCAAGGGTGGGCATTAGGAAATACTCAGTTTCTGTCCTTGTGCCCTATGATGCTGGTTCCTTTCATTACCCAATCCCAAACAGAAGTCAGGGGCAAGGGAACTGGACTGCATCACTCTGTGGGGGACAGGGATAGCTGGAGAAAGGAACCAAGAGCCAAACAGACTAAGCAGCACATATGTCTACACTGTAGACATGGTCTTCCTGTAAGTCATTATACTTCGGCCAATACTGAATTAAAAATGACAATTTCAGCCTTACCTGGTATCCCTTTACATTTACTTTAGAAATGATCTATGCTGTGTACTCTGAACTTAGTAGAGGAAAGAAATGATCTTCTGATTCTAGGAGCTGTTGGCTTGTATGCTTCTATGTGGAATACTTACTACATAGACTTTTTGTGTATTTTTTAAACTTCTGTTCAGTTACAGAACGTGGAGTCAGATGAGCATGATAATTCTGTCAATTATTTGGGTAGAACTCTAGCTGACCACATTTTTGGGTGGTATCATCTGTTGTTTGAAATGGTAGAGAACAATCGAGAGTGTATTGATAGTAGAATTGGGAAAAAGAAGTTTAATTCATGTAAATCATGTAAGAGTTACTATGAGATAAGAAAGCTTTATATTCCATAATTACCCTTAAAAAGTTTTTTATTAATTTAGGTAATTGCCTGTGAACTTGACCCAAGGCTAGTAGCTGAACTGCACAAAAGAGTTCAGGGCACGTGAGTATTCATAATAGAATTAAAGTACATTTCAGTCTCATGAAACAATATTCTTTTTAAATTTTTTTCTTTTAATTATTATCAGACCATTGGCCAGCAAACTTCAAGTAATGGTGGGTGATGTGCTGAAAACAGATTTGCCATTCTTTGATGCTTGTGTGGCAAATTTGCCTTATCAGGTATGTTTTTAAATTGTTGGGAACATTAGACTAAATGTTTCTCTAGTGTGTCTTTCCTAGAAATAACTAGTTAATTCTCTTACAGATATCTTCTCCTTTTGTCTTCAAGCTGTTGCTGCACCGACCTTTTTTCAGGTTTGTGACAAATATCAAAACGACTGCCAGATATTAGAAAGATCAACAGTTTAGGCCATGAACACAGACAGCCAAAAATGAAGGTTAATTCATTTGAAAAATCGCTGGACAATTTGTTTTGTAGAAAGTATCAATTTTTGTGGAGACTTTTTTCTCTCTTTACTTAATTGACAGAATTATTGGGGGAGCTGTGGTGTAAGTCTTGCTTCTGAAACCAGACGACTTTTCCCTAATTTCCCATTTGCTTGCCATTAGCCCAGGTTAAACTTTTTATTACCTTGTGTCTACACAATTTCAGTGGTCTCCTAAGGTATTTCTAGTACAATCTGTACCAATCATTTTCAGACTGCAAATCAAAAACCCCTTAGTGGTTATAAAATAAATTTAGTAGGTCATGACTGTCATTTTTCTTTTTAATGACATGGAATAGAATGCATCAGAGGGTATTAAGTGCATGTGGCCCAGGTGATTATAGTTTTACAAAACTTTTGTTTGAGTTACAGGAGCACATGTACATACAGATATTTATGACCTGGGTTGCAATATCAAATCTATTTCTTAGTGTCACTTACAGTAAAAAATTTTGAAAGTCAAAACCCGGCTTTGAAGATGACCATCTTCTGTTCAAGAGCCTCCAAAAGCCTTCCCATTGCTTGCTGAATCAACAACAACAACAACAACATCAAACTACATTCCTTAATCTGTTATATCAGGACACTGATTTCACAACCTGCCTCAGCTCTTCCATTAGGGTGTTTGCTACCCCATGAATATAACTTGCTTACTGAGCCAATTTTGTTTGTTTGGGTTTTGTTTTCAGAGAAGGGGTGATAAAGACTAGTGCTGATCTGAAATACTTTCTCATCTGATCATTGAGGCTTTACATTAGCAAGGGATAAGAGGTGCAGCCATTATAAAATGGAAAAGCCAACTGGATCATTTTGTGGTAATAAAGCTAAGGCTAAATATTCTACCTTCTCACCGGCTGGACTAATTGTCGTGAACTGCAGATACTGCTTTGCTCTGTTTCCTACCCAAGCATCTGTTGAAGTTCAAATACATTTATAGTTGAAAGGGACCATTTTCTTTATTCCTTTCTGTTGTCTTTTCAGATGTGCTATACTTATGTTTCAAAGAGAATTTGCTCTCCGACTGGTTGCAAAACCTGGAGATAAGTTATACTGCCGACTGTCAATTAATACACAGCTGTTAGCACGTGTGGATCATCTAATGAAGGTAAGTGACTATTATTGAACTAATTTGACTTAGCTTATCCTTGAGCATTTAGCTATGCTTTCTGTGAGGAAAGCACATTTGATTACTAATTTAGTTATTTTTGAGAGTAGTATCTAAACATTTTCTGATTAACAGGTTGGAAAGAATAATTTCAGACCACCACCCAAGGTGGAATCCAGTGTTGTAAGAATAGAACCTAAGAACCCGCCACCGCCTATCAATTTTCAGGTGAGGTTAAAATACTAGGTCATTCATTCAATAAAGGGAAAAAAAATGTCCAAGCTGGAAGATGTGTGTCTATAATCGCAGAAAAATACTGAGTCAACCTAAATTTTCTAACAGGAAAATGTTAATTACGATATATCCCTGTGAAGGAGTAGATGGAATAATTTGACTCAAGATAGTTGTGAAGACCACAAAAGCACATGGAAAATGTTTGCAAAAGGTAAAAAGATTAGAATGCTGGTGCATTTTGCTGAAGATTATAGCTATGAAAAACATGTCTCTATTTGAATAAGACTTGGGAAACAAGATATAGTGAAAACAGTTGTTAGAGTAATATTATAGGAAACACTTTTAAATCAAAATTCTTATTTTTGAGATTTAAGAGAAGGAAACCAGATCGCTTGTTGTAAAAACTGCAATCACTTTGGATAAAAACATGATTGCTTATGTGGTCAATAACTGGAGGTAAATGGAGTGGCTTGTCAACTACTCCTTCAAAGAAGGTTTAGATGTGTTATGCAGAATATGTTCTAAATCATGTTTGTTTTGAATTATGTTTTTTGAAAATGATACATGCCATGTGACACTTTATTATTTATTTATTTTGGTACGTGCCCCTAGCGGGAACTGAACCCGGTACTCTGTGGCCCGCAGGCTAGTGCTCCAACCACTGAACCAAACCGGCCAGGGCCCATATGACATTTTAGATGCCAAAATGCTGTATTCTTTGTTCGATATGGAATAATTGTCTTTTTTCTAATTTTTGGAATTGAGATTAAAATATTCAGTGAGGTGTACAAAAGTTCAAAAAAATATACATCTTACTTTTGCATATGTGTCAGCCACATCAAGATATCTGATGAACATTTTCATCAGTCCCAAAGGTTCCTTCCAGTTTTATATATTAAGAGACAAAATAATACCTAGCAGGCCTAAGAAAGAAGTTTGATATTTTGTTTTTGTTTTTTTTTATCCTCACCCGAGGACATTTTTCCATTTTTTGTTCAGGTAGAGTGGGAGGGAAAGAGAAGAACAGAGAGAGAGAGAGAGAGACATCGATGTGAAAGGAACACATCGAGTGGCTGCCACCCGCACAACCGACCAGGGCCGGGGACAAACTGCAACCGAGGTACGCGCCCTTAGCGGGAACCGAACCTGGGTCTCTCTGGACCACAGGCTGACGCTCTAACCGCTGAGCCAAACCAGCCAGGGCAGAAGTTTGATATTTTGTAAGAATATATCCATCTTCTGTTTCAGGAATGGGATGGCCTAGTAAGGATCACCTTTGTGAGGAAAAACAAGACACTCTCTGCTGCATTTAAGTAAGTATTTTACTAATAATTTATAATGTATGAAGGACCAGTGCTTCAGATACTGTGCTAAGTGCTAGAATTTGGTCCTTTTCCTGAGCAGATATCCTAAGTGTAATGACTACTCATGTCCATACTTTATCTTTTTAAAAAATATGTTTTTATTGATTTTAGAGAGGGAGGGAGGGGGAGAGAGAAAAACATCAATGAGACCAGCTTCCCCATGCATGCCTCTCACTAGGGATATAGCCTGAAACCCAGGCATGTGTCCTGGCAGGGAATCAACTGGTGACCTCTTGGTGCTTGGGATGATGGTCAACCAACTAACTGAACCACACCTGTCAGGGTAAATTTTACCTGTTTACCTGTTATACTTTGAGAGGCAGGAGAATTTAATGAAGAAATTTCCGGTAGTTGGGAATTATATCAGGTTTTTTGGCAAAACAGGGAATGAAAACAAACTGACCACATATCTGCCTGGTAGCATTTATGTAAGATACATTTAATTTTATTAACTTGGAAAAATGTAACAGCATTTTGGGGCCTAAGGGTAAAAGAGAGATGAAAGCCTTAATTTTAGATTTTTTTTATTTTTTTTATTGAGGTGATGTTTTGTGGAGAGTCTAGAATTTTGTTAAATATTTGAGACGTTTATTAGGACTTTACTTTTTAAATGTAACTATGTAGTCCTTTTGAAATTGTGATTGGTTCGTCTGTCAGCGTCATAACCCAGGAATGTCTTTCTCAAGGACCTAGGAACCATCCCTTGAAATATCAACATCAAAAGACAGCCCCCACCCGCCCACCCACTTTTCCCCCTACCCCCCACCCATCTCCCAGGTTCTGTGAGAGGGTTGGAGCCTAACTTGGGTGGGTGCATTGCTCTGAGTGGCAAAACTACCTCATAAGGTACAAGAACTATATTTCTCCTCTGGGTGAAGCCAATGAGCTAACACTGATGGTGACCCCAATTACTATAATAAAGTTAGGATGAACTATGTGTGACTGTCAAGTTTTCTTACTTGAAGACATGTGTAAGGAGTTGCATCTACTTGGCCATACAAAGGGTGAGATTTTTTTTTTCCTGTCTCTACAATCTCTTAGTGGATTGATTGCCAGGTGATGCACAGCCCATTCTGGTTGAATGATTATTCATAATAAAAGTGTTTTCTCTTTCTACTCTTTGTGGAGAGGTTTTCTTGGAATAAATAAAGAAATAAAACTATGTAGTTTGTGATTGTTTCATAAGTTTAAGTTTTTAGCACCTTTTTAGTTTTGAATTTTGCTATATGAAACAGATTTAATCTTATAATAAACTGAAAGGAAATTATTGATAATCTCTAATTTTGGAATAATAACACTGATGTCATTTATGCTATAGGTCAAGTGCAGTACAGCAGCTATTGGAAAAAAACTACAGAATTCACTGTTCAGTCCATAATACTGTAAGCAGAAAATGTTTGTGATTTAGTGACTTATTGGTGTTTTTAAATGTCCCTCTATTTCTCATTGCTTTTCATCTATTATTCAGATTCTTTAATTTTATACATTCCATAAGATCCTTAAAAGATCATATGTAATGTATAACTGGAACAACTTTAACAGGTCAGTGCTGATGGTATGTCCGTGGAACAGATCTGAGCAACCTCGGTTACTCCACTCTATCTTCTTTAACTACTGACAGATGTTGTAGCCATAGAGCAATTGAGCTGAGTCATAATTTCCTTAAAGGTTTAGGCATGTGCAGCTTGAAATAATTGTGACTATCCCTTCTTGTCTGTTGCTCATACAGCAATTATAAATTTAAATATTTCTCAGTAACTTTTTAATACCCAGAAATTGATTAAAATAAAGTATATACTGAATAGCATATTTCTGGTTGTGAGCCTTATGCCTTTTAATCATTATCTGTGCAGTATTTTTTTTTCGATCCTTAAACACGAGAGTATTTTTCCATTTATCTTCAGAAAGAGTAGGAGGGAGGGAGAGAAGAAGAGAGAGAGAAACAGAGAGAGAAACATTGATGTAAGAGAGACACATTAACTGGTTGCCTCCCACACGACCATGACCCTGACCAGGGCCGGAGACGAACCGCAACTGAGGTATGTGCCCTTGGATGGAATCAAACCCAGGTTTCATTGGTCTGCGGGCCGATGCTCTGACCGCTGAGCCAAACCAGCCAGGGCTGTGCAACATTTTCTTTGACCAATTTTATCTGTGAGCACACATACAGATATTCATATATAATGACTGTGCGATAACTTATTCTTTCAAATTAATTAAATAGAGCAGACAGATAAAAGCCAATTTTGTTTCTATTTCTGGACTCAGATTATTAGGTATGGTTTAATGTACCACACTATGGATAAAGTGATTTAGAAAATGCTAAACCGGATTAAGAAAAAAATTTTTTTTAAAAGTGTATTTTATTGATGTTTTTTAGAGAGGGAGAGATAGAAACTATTGGCTGCCTCCTGCACGCCCCCTAATGGGGATTGAGCCTGCCGCCTGGGTATGTGCCCTGACAGGGAATCGAAACCAGCATTTCTCAGTCCATGGGATGATGCTCAATGCACTGAGCCAGAGCACCAGGCTAGAAAAGTCTTTATGAGGAAATTGTGAAGTATGATATATTACTATTCCTTAAGGGTTGGAGAGGCCATCTCTTAGAGAAAAATTAAAGTGGTAAAATGAGATTTGTGCCAAGAAAATGTGTTATGTTTACAGGAGTAACAATTGCTTTAAAATGCAGTTTACAGCTCTAATTTTGTTATAGAATACTTTGTGTCACCTGAAACTGACAGAATTTTTAGGAGGGCAATATACTCGATAAACTAATTCGAAGTCTTCTGAGTTATTTGGCACGTGCTAAAGATCAGTCACTTAGAGATCCAAGTCATGGACAGATGGTAACTCTTTTATGACTTATTGAACTAAAAAGAAAGAGAGTCAAGGTGACTTCATTAAAGATATGTTGTTCATTTATTCTGAATCTTGATAGATAATACCAGAAGATTTCAGCATAGCAGATAAAATACAGCAAATCCTAACCAGCACAGGTTTTAGTGACAAGCGGGCCCGTTCCATGGACATAGATGACTTCATCAGGTAATTACATTTTTCTTAAGTGTTTACATTTCTTTACTGTGACACCTTCAGAGATTGAAAGGCTTTTAAGCTGTGTAAGGTGCTACCTGGGAGTTATTGCATAGCACTTCCAAGGCATAGAATAGTATTTGGTATAGAAGATGGAGGATAGTTAGCTGCAGCAGAATGGACATTTTCTTTAAGAACAGTAGTAAATAACAGTCCTAGCCTGGAGATTGCCTCTGTTCAGTGTGTTGTGGTATGTGTGTGCCCCTCCCCTAACTCCCATTCATAGTTTATTGTCTCTTCAAGTAGCCTGTAAGACAGAAGAATCCTAATACGTGTTGGGATCTCATTTTTTTTCTTTATTGGGAATAGCTATTGTTTTTGTGTGTGTGTGTTTATTTTTTTAATCCTCACCCGGGGACATTTTTGCATTTATCTTCAGATAGGGCGGGAGAGAGGACGAGAGAGAAACATCAATGTGAGAGGGATACATCGACTGGCTGCCACCCACATGACCCCCAACCAGGCCGGGGACAAACTGCAACCGAACCCGGCCCGGGACTCTCTGGTCCACAGGGTGACACTGTAACCTCAGAGCCAAACCAGCCAGGGCGGGAATAGCTATTGTTAAATAGACCCTAAGCATGATATAGTTTGTTACAATATCTGGTTATCATTTCTAACTGGTTTAGTAATATAGTTACTTGTTTTGTAATTATCTGGGCAATGTACACCAAAATTTGTTTTCCTTGAATTAGACAAGTCTCATGAAAACACAGTAAGGCTTAAATTACCCAGGCAGTTATTAACCTGTACTCAGGTTTTAATCACTCTGATTTCCTATCTTACTGCAGAAGTTTTTGCCTCTTTAGCTAATTCATTTTTAAAGCCTCCATGTTTTAGGGGCTGAATTAAAAATGAGCATAGATTGTTACAAAAGTCATTGATTTGACTTTTTAAGCTGGAAACACAGTTCTACACAAGACAAATAGGTTTTATATTTTATACTGGCAGTTTAGTAATACTACTGAATATTCAATGTTAATCTTAGGAGTTGATTATTATTCGTAAGTACCTAGCTTCCTGTTTTAGACATTTTAACCGATCTTGACCTGTTCCTATGAGCTATCCTAAAAATAATCTCAGATTTGAGTAAAAATATATTTCAATTTTCTTTCATTTTCACCAAATTTCTTCAAGGTTATTAAGCATATGTGTAGTTTGCTAACTAAGATCTGATTAAGTATATATAAGTATCCAGAGAAAAGCATTATGTAAATATTTAAACCTTAGTTAACAGTGAGCTCAGAGAAGAATGAGCATACATGTAAGATTAGCTCTTCATCTATCTTATTGTTCACTTACCACGTTGTAACAGTGTTAATGAACTCTTAGGTCTGGGACAGTAGAGGTCTAAGATAATTTTAGTCAAATTCATAACTTAAGACATACAGGCTATGACAAAAAGAGGTACCCAAAAAATACTGTTTTAACCAATGACTAGTAATAGGAGTGGGTAGGCTTCATAGGTTTGCTGATGTGTTCATGTTTTAGAGTTCATGGTATGGGAACTATATGCATGATTATGTGCTACATAAATAGCTTTTCAATACCATGTCGTTTTGGTTTCTTGTTTCAGATTACTACATGGATTCAATGCAGAAGGTATCCATTTTTCTTAGGTATCTGGAAAACAGAATTTTTCAAACTCAACAAAAGAAACTGGAATTATATATTTTTAATTTAAGAAGATGAAGTATGCTTATCCTCCACTGGGACATTGTGTTTAACTATTTTTGATTTAATGCTACTGTTATTACCAATTATTATTCTGAATTTCCTAAGGTAGTTAAGTAAGTCGATTTAAGTACCCAAGTTTTTTTGGTTTTGGTTGGTTTTTAATTTCTAACACAGGACAGGGTCCAACTATATACATGATAATCTTCAAGCCCAATAGCCGCATTCACGCACACCTTGACACTTAAACTTATCATTTTTAACAGGTTATTGTGTAAAGATGTTACTCTTCTATTTTCTATATTACGGTGAGGACCTCTTTAGGCCTTTAGCTGTTTAGGCCTTTGTTCCTCAGCTGTAACATTTAAGTGCTTAACTGAGCCACATATTCACCATACTATTTCTTCTTGTTCATGTTTACAGTAAAACAATTTTCTTATGATGTTTTAATTTTCTGTTAATCCTATACTACTTCTATCACTGCCTACCCCTTTTAAACTTTCCTGTAGCATCAGTTATATCAGGTTCTGGGTAAGCTTGAGTCTGCTACTGAGACCATGTGGCGCCAGACAATTTACCTCTGGGCATGTTTTCTTACCTATAAAATGAGGATGCTCAACTAGAATGTAAAATGAATTATAAGACTAAGTTTTTTCTCGAGGAGAGTCAGGTTTAACAAAATTTCCAAAGATTTTAGAAATCAAAACTTGATTTAAAATCTCTGCCTATCAACTTGATTAATAGACAAAAAAACTCAACCAGTAGTTTTCCCACAAGAACAGACTTTCAGTATTCCTATAAATTCTGGATAATTAAAATTTCCAGTACTTTTTCATATACCTGATTAGTTTTCAGCTATTTTTAAAATGTAAGGTTAAGAATGTCGTCAACAGGTGTCGTAACCACATCTTTAATTTGCTATGTTTAAATCATTATCGATATAATACTAATTGTTAATGTCCTTTAATAAAAAGTTATATATAATAGCTGGTTATTTTATTTATATAAGGAAATAAAAATGTCATTCTTTATGCCTAACTTAATAGAAATGTTTCCAAATTATTTTAACAGAAGTATGCTGAGTAATCCTAGAAAGGAAGTTAATTTGTTTACCTAACATTTTTTGAAATCTGGCTTCAAAGTGATATATTAAAACATCCTATGTAATGAAAATAGTGTTTTTTGTTAATAATAGGAATTATCACCTTTCAAATCTGAAAAGGTAAAGAATGTTTAATCCAGATCCAAAATTTATTATTTTTAATCCTCACCCAAGGACATTTTTCCATTTTTTTCCAGATAGAGTGGGAGGAAGAGAGAAACATCGATGTGAAAGGGACACATCGAGTGGTTGCCACCCACACGACCCGACCAGGGCCGGGGCCAAACTGCAACTGAGGTACGTGCCCTTAGCGGGAACCGAACCTGGGTCTTTCTGAACCACAGGCCGACACTAACCGCTGAGCCAAACCAGCCAGGGCTCCAAAAATTATTTTTTTAAATAGCCGCAGTAAGCCACTTTTGTTATATAAATATTATACTTACGAGTAAGTTTTTTTGTTTAAAAATTTTTTTTTCTTTATTGATTTTTAGAGAGTGGAAGGGAGAGGGAGAGATAGAAACATTGATGAGAGAGAACATTGATTGGCTGCCACCTGCATGACCCCCACTGGGGATTGGGCCCACAACCTGGGCATGTACCATGACTGGGCAATGAACCTGTGACCTCTTGGTGCATTGGTTGACGCTAAACCACTGAGCCACACCAGCCAGGGAAGAGTAGGTTTTTAAAGTATCAAATAACTACTTTGCAAAATTCATTTGTACTATCTCTATTTTTAAAGGAAAATGTTAAGATTTATTAATTCAGCTTTCCCTCTAACATCTAGCAACAGTAACTGCAGAGTATTAGTCCCTTTTCTGGCTTTTGGTTTTCCCTATCTGTAAAACTGAAGTACTGGACTATACTACCAAGATATTTTCTGGTGTACTGACTCTTTACATACCTTGATTAATGATCAGAATGAAGCCATTATAGGATAAGGCATCATATTTAGACACAAGGGGACCTTCTAGAGATAGTACCCATCTATTTTAAATAATAAATTAAGACTAATCTGTTGTGCTTACAATAAGCAAACTCAAATATTTTTATTGCCCTTTGAAGGTTGGTTAGGCTCAAAAACTACCTCAAAAACAGCCTCTGCAAGGTCAATAGTTCTCCATTCTTCCTCTTCCCTTTGAAATAAACACAAATAGGATATATCTTACAGCTGCAAGAAAACCTGAGCCCTTTCCAAAACAAAGGTGATTACATTGAAGAAAATTATCTATAAACTCATTTCATAAATTTCATTTATTAATAAGCACATTGTGAAAATCTACATTTGTTCTAGATTTCAAGTTTACAGAGGAGCATTTCACCATGGTATTAGGATTTCCCACAACTACCCTCTGAGTTCTATCAAGTGAAGTAGGGAATCTGGCTCATGTGACTCTATTCATAGCTTCCCTTTGGCCCATATGAATGAGCTATTAGTTCCCTTGAATGAATCAAAACAAGATATCCTTGGGAGATTTTGTGGTGTTAACCCACTCCTGGACTCTCCTAAGAACTGAGGGAAACCTCCTAGAGATATATAAATTGTTTAACAAAATATTTACATGAAAAGTGGCCAGTTTTCTTCCTTGGAGTAGCAATCTGTAAAAATAAGTGCTACCATTTAAAAAGTAGTACACCCTAGACCAATTTATTGGTGAGAATTTGGTGATTCTCACCAAATAATGGTGAAACATCACACATTAGGTAATGGACGGAGCTTGGGTTAGATGTGCCTTTTAAGGCAAAGTCAACTCTTTTTAGGCTTAATTCTCTTTCAGGGGAATTATGTACTGTCTGTCTATACTTGGCTTAAACTAACAGTTCTATTATGGACTACTTTCAATGTATTATGTAAATGTTCATGCATCAGAAGCCAATTTCCTTTAACAGTACATTTAAAAGGTACATTTTGGGGTGCTAATGGACACTTCAACTTAAGTAATGGTATTGGTAAGGAGCAAACTGTACTATTAGTTTTGTTAATAACACACTGGAACACACACTGCATATATATGTATTATCCTAAGATAAAACTCTTCTCAGAATTTCATTACTTTTTATTATACACCAACTAGTTTATATTTTAATTCTTTACAAAGAAAATGCTAAGAAAATTATATCCACATGTTAAATGTTTTAAAATCATAATTCCAGATTTCTTTACATATAAGATGGAGAGTGGTCCAGCAGCTATGTCCACTGTCACAGACTTTAGTTCCATTCAATGATATGGCACATCCTGCAAAATTAACTAGCAACACACACAAAAAAATGTCTCCAATACAGTAAAAATGTACACACAATAAAGGTAATTTACAATGACAAATAAGGAATGTAATTTAACTTGGCTGTGCATCAGAAATTCAGGGTCAATTGCCTTAGTCAAGGCACAAAGCAGGAAGAGGTGAGCACAGCTGCCTCTAAGAGTGGCAAGGTATGTACAATCACAGATGAGGTATGCATGCACGTAAAGGATTTAAAACTGCTCAGTCTTGCTACGAAAATTGAACCGAGTTAAAAGGAAATGCTGTGGCTTCCCCCTACTACTCACCCCTGGATCAAGTCCACAATCTTACTTCATCATATAGAAAATAAAATTGGCAAGGATCTCTAAAAGTAAATCACCATTTGGGTAAATGAAACAAAATGCTTCACTATTCCCAAATCTTGGTTGTGCCTCCGGGATTAGAAACATTTTGTAGACAAAATTGTGTTTCACAAAACTGAAATGTCATTCAGATGAAGGGACAAGACATTTTCCACAGACACTTAAAATTTCAAACTTTCAAATGGCCCTTACAGCTGAACCTTATGTGTTACAACAGTGAGGGTTCTGGGGATCCTTTAGCAGCAAATGCCAACTTAAAGGGCACGGGGTCTCTTCGGGTTGATTTGCTTGCTGGCCTGCTCCTCTTCTTGTAGAGCTGCACGAAAAGATTTCACTTTATCTTGGAAAAAGAAAAGAACAGGGAGTTAGATAGGCTACATATGTGTATAAAGTATGTACAGTCATGTCCAAAAGGAACACTGAATATTATTAAACTGTGAAATAGCACATTTCTTCTCTCAATGTTAGAAAATTTCTACTTCCAACAACTATCTTTTTAAGCTAATTTTAATAAGATATTTGAATTTTAAAAAATATTTTCCTTTATCAGGGATTGTAAAAAGGGCTGGGAAGGAGGATTACAGGATAATGCATTTCTTGGTCTTAAAATTCTGTCTTACCATCTATCATAACTGATTCAGAGTCACTTAAGAATAAAAAATAGGTTAAACTGGCAGAGGCAAATAACACTCAGTTATAAAGATGAGAAATCTTCCTATAACAGTGATCCTCAACTGAGGTGATTTTTGTCCCCACCCCCACCCCACTCCCACCCTGGGAAATTTGATAATGTCTACAGACATTTTTGATTGTCACAACTGGAGTGGTGCTACTGTCCTCTAGTTAGTGAAGACCAGGATGCTGGTAAGCATTGTGCAATGCATAGGATGGGCACCCCTCAACAGAATATGTCTGTTACTAGTGCAAAGGTAATGAACAGTCTTCAGAAGAAAAAAAAGCTACACATTTCTTTCCTGTCTTCAGAAGTTCAATAATTTTTTTTCCTCACCTGAGGACATTTTTTTTGCATTTATCTTCAGACAGTGGGAGGGAGAAAGGGAGGAAGAGAGAGAGAGAAACATGGATGTGAGAGAGATACATTGACTGGTTGCCACCCACACGACCCCAACTGGGGCCAGGGACAAATGGCAACTGAGGTACGTGCCCTTAACAGGAACTGAACCCGGGCCTCTCTGGTCCATGGGCAGTCGCTCTAACCACTGAGCCAAACTTGCCAGGGCTCAGTATTTTTAAAAGTTGGCTTTCTTGTCCTGGCCGGTTTGGCTCAGTGGTTAGAATGTTGGCCCGTGGACCAAAGAGTCATGGGTTTGATTCTGGTCAAGGGCACGTGCCTCAGTTGTGGTTCATCCCGGGCCCTGGTCGGGGTTGTGCAGGGGGGCAACCAGTCAATGTGTCCCTCTCACATCCATATTCTGCCCTCTCTTTCCCTCCTTCCCACTCTATTAAAACAATGACAACAAAAAGTTGGCTTTTCTAACACTTAGAAAGGAATTTAAGGATTTCTGGATCTTGTGGTTGCTAATATAAATAGCTCTCTGCCTGGCCAGTATGGCTCACTGGTTGAGTCTCGACCCATGCACCAAGAGGTCACCGGTTCAATTCCCGGGTGGGGCACATGCTCAGGTTGTGGGCCCAAACCCCAGTGGGGAGTCATGCAAGAGGCAGCCAATCAATGTTCTCTCTTATCTATGTTTCTTCTCTCTCTCTCCCTCTAAAATCAATAAAGAAAATAAAAATAAATAAATAGCCCTCAAACTTCTTATATTAATAACAAAATTATCTCTGGATGGTAAAACATTTCTAAGAAAAACTGAATGAGACAGACAAAAGATAGTAATTTCTTGAAGTTATAGATATGCTTGATATACATGAATTCCAAGAAAATTAAGGAAAGGAAGTCAACTAAGTTGAATGTCACACATAACAGAAAAAAATTAGAATGCATTATACTCTATATTCTGAATAAATGCATATAGAAAAGTTCATTGTGAGTTATGGCAGATTAGAAAAATGATCAAAACACTTTAAATCATGGTTTGAATATGAAGAACATAAAAACAAAGTAAATTTTGGAAGCCTACATTTGCAAAAACAATTCTGAAACTGGGGAAATGGTCACTGCTGACTCCATAGAATATGGTATCAAATAACCAACTTCACGAAGGACCTAGCTTAAAAAATTAAACAGTTTGTCTGGTGCTAAAAACTAGCAATTTCAATTTGGTTTCATGTTGCATTGCATGTACACACACCGACACCCATTCATATATAAAAGAAGACAGCTAATTTGCCAATGCCTAAAAAATCAGCATACACAGTAAATGTATATCTGAAGCTACATATAATCTAATTAAAAAGCCAATCAGACATGACAGAAGTAAGCCACATACTTCCCTTCCAAAGCGAAGTAGAAAGGGTATTTGTCTTGAAATCTTCCTCTTTTTCAAAACAAGTGTTCAAAGGGAAAACATAAGATGCACAGACAGGAGATGTAGATAGGAGGCCATAGAAAGATGATCCTGAATAGATCTAATCCAAGGAAAAGCATTGGCCTACCAAACTAAAAACACGAATGGGTATATAAAATTTAAAAAGGTCTTTTTTACAAATTTCTTTTGTAAATTTTCTCTCTATAATTATATTTTCTCAAAAGACTAAAAGAAGAAAGATAAATAGACAGCACTTGAAATGAAACTCCGTGTCCTTTTTTTGGGAAAACAGACGGTTGGTGTGCCTATTTACCGCTAAAAAGATTTTAAATGTTGCCCATACTTTTAACTTAAGATCTCCTCTTGCAATGAAATCCTCCCACTAAATACATACAAATATTAAGCATAGTTCAAATACTAAAATGAAAAATGAATTACCCCGCAGCTCAGTTAAAATGTCTATTTTTTGCTCAAGAATAGCTTCAAGTTGGGTAGCATATGAATCTACATCATAGTCTACTTCCTCAGTCATCTCTAGAAGAGCCTTTTCATCTTCTAACCATCGAATAGATTCCTAAAAGGACAAAAATTCAATTAATCTAATAAGCCTCTTTATAAGACAGAAACCAATTTAAAAATTTTATATATATTAAACATTACCAAACATACTCAAGATTGCATTCTCTAAAATATTAATAACCATAAAACATCTTTATTTACAGAGTAAAATTAAGAAATATTTCTAGATTCAAACACAAATATGATAGGTCAAGCAAGATGGCTTCATTTTTCTACTTTTACTTTACCTTATATGTGTTGGTGTGACATGGGGGACGGAATGAATCAAACACATAAATATCAGTGAGCAGAGTAAGTCTCAAAACTTCAACAGCTATCCCCAAACAGGGAAAGAATGGGTAAAAGAAAGCTACTGAGCAATCTAATGGCATCTATGACAGCCTAGACCTTGTAAATCATCTGGAATTAACATACATTTGGGGCTTCACAGTGGTTGGGCCAAGAGATAACCCTAAATTCTAAACACAACTTCTTCAAAAGTATTGTGACTATAAGGGACCAATGGATAGCCAATCTCAGAAGAATCAAATAGACCACTAATTTAATTTTCTAGCAATGTCATGAATCATAAGACTTATTCAACAGGGTCAGATCATTCTGAATTAGAGTTTTTGAATATTAAAAAAAGAGGACACTTTCTAGCTTTTTAGGGTACACACAATTTCAATTTTCCAAACATCAATGCAATTTAATGGCTAATTATAATTAGACTATAGACCACCAGGCAGAACTGGTTAACCTAGGTGCAGTTACATATTAGAAAACTAAGTATGTGTCAATTAAAACACACAACCCAGTATTTTTTTCTTTTCCTTCAGCTATCTATTTATTTTTTAAAAATCAAAACCTTATTTTGAGACATTGCAGATCATGGTATAAAGGAACAATGAATGGAATTATAAAAACAACAATGACTTAAAAGTCAGAACACGCAGTTCTGCCATAAAGAACTTTTAGAATTTATCATAAAATGGCACAGTGGGATTGGTTATTATATGACACCTTGTTTCAAAAGGAAGGGCACAATTTTCTTAAAATTACAAGTATCCTTTTCTTTTTTAAAAAAATCTTTATTGTTCAGTACACAGGCCTATAAAATGAGATTCTCATAATAAGGGTTTGACTAAAACTTTAACATTTTTAATAATGCATATCCTATTCTAAAACTATTTAAAATTTCTCATACTTTTGAGCCCTTTACCCAGGTTCTTGAATGGCCTTGGGCTGAGGCACATTAATAATTGTTTACAGCCCTGGCCGGTTTGGCTCAGCGGTTAGAGCATCGGCCTGCGTTCCAGAGAGAGCCAGGTTCAGTTCCCGCTAAGGGCACGTACCTCGGAGGCAGTTTGTCCCTGGCCCTGGGTGGTCGTGCAGGTGGCAGCCACTCGATGTGTCCCTTTCACGTCGATGTTTCTCTCTCTCTCTCTCTCTCTCACTTCCTCTCCCTCCCTCCCACTCTATCTGAACAAAAAATGGAAAAATGTCCTCGGGTGAGGATAAAAAAATAAAACTAAAAAAATAATTGTTTACAGAAGATTTCTTCAACGTCAGAGAAGGAATACAGGTCAACAGGGAGAGACTGAGTTATGGTTCAATTTTTTCTCAGAAGGTATTTATAATATTGCAGAAAGATAGGGGAAGGAGAGGCAAGCCAACTGTACAGTCTCCATAATGATGTCCAAATGTTCTCTTTCCTTTCCCAACACCTCCTCATAGGTATCACCCTCCAGTATATTTTCTTATTTAAAGGGTAGAGGGAAGGAAAGGAGGGTCATACAGTAAAAGGATTTGTTATAGGTTGAACACACAACAAAATGAATACTATACCTACGGCCTTACTGCCACATCCCTCATTCATCTGCCACTGACAGTTCAGTCAGAGCAGTAGTCTCCCTCTCCTGAAGCTGCCTTCCTTTTCTGCAAAGACTGACACCTCCTCAACCACTCTGATACCCATTAGTAGAACTCTTTCCTTACTGCTGTCCTGACATGGAGACACTCCAATATATTGACCTAATGCGAAAAGGGGTATTGGAGGGCAGAAGTTCAATTTCTTCTCTGAAAATGGACAACTGACAAAAGCAAATAAAATGGGAGAATGGTAGTAAATAAACTAGATCTTTAAAGAAAGTTATTTGTTGCTAGTATTCTTTGATTTCAAATTTGCCATGTCATACGCCCTACAAATATACATCTGCGTACACACAAACAAGTATTCGTTTAGATTTGTGCGATAGTCCAAAAATTATGAAAGTTTTTTTGTTAATTTCTCTAAAAAAAAACATTTTGATGAAAGGTCCTGTCTTATTTCACCTGGAACACTGCTCTGTGATCTTCTACAACTTGTTCTTCCATTTCTACCATTTGTGAGACAGCTTCATGGAAAGTAAACAATTGTGGGGAAACCTCTTCTTCCTTAAAATAAAAAGGTGTAAAGTTATGACAGAAAGAGTTTATACTTTAAATGTTACAAAGAAGCAGTTTTTCTATGTCATTTACAAAAATGCATTTAGAAACTGAGGAAGCCTGAATGATAAAGACTCCTAAAACATACTATGAAAGCCAAAGCCACAATGTCTTTTTATGGGTCTTTATATGGGGATTGCAAAGATGAAAGATATCCACACTCTCTCAAATATGGAAGAGGATGCAAAACCTCATGACGTCATGCTTAAAAAGACTCTGAATTAGTTCTGGTCACCTAGCCAACCTCTTCAAATTAAGGTCCTGCTGGGACCCAATAAATGCAAGAATAAAATGGAAAAGATCTGCTATAGGGAGTGCCTATCTGGTTCTGGTTTTCCAAATCTTAGGTAGGTACCATTTCTGGTGCAATACAGGGTTTACATAAAGGATTTTATAAGTAACCACAGTTATATTCAAAACTTCTGGGGACGGGGTATACACTAAGACCAGGATCTCATTTTTTTTTTTTTTTTTTAAATCCTCACCCAAGGACATTTTTTTCCATTTTTTGTTCATATAGAGTGGGAGGGAGGGAGAGAGACAGAGAAACATTGACGTGAAAGGGACACATAGAGTGGCTGCCACCCGCACGACCAACGAGGGCCGGGGAAAAACTGCAACCGAGATACGTGCCCCTTAGCAGGAACCGAAGCCAGGTCTCTCTGGACCGAAGGCCGATGCTCTAACCGCTGAGCCAAACCAGCCAGGGCAAGGACCTCATTTCTTTATGTTCAATGATCCAAAGTTTAGAACTCTTACTATAAACCAGATTTCTCAACTTCAACACTACTGACATTTTGGGGGTGTAAGGGGAAGGCACTCCTGTGCATTGTATGTTTAGTGGCATCCCTGGCTTCTACTCACTAGATTTGGTTGTCACCCCGGCTGTGATAACCAAAAATGTCTCACACATTTCTCCCTCGGAGGACAAGGCACTGCTGGTTGAGAATCGTTGCATTAAGCCCTGCTTTATTAAGAGAACAATTTGGAACATAATAATAAAAAGTAATACCTACTAAAAAATAGAAAAAATTAGCTTAAATTATATTGCTTCCCAAGAATATAGGAGTAGACAAAGGTAGGTTTACAGTTGTGAGTACACAAAACAGTTTCTTCCTTTTTTATTGATCTCAGAGGCAGGGAGGGAGGGAGAGAAACATTGATTGGTTGCCTCCTCACTCACTTTAACTGGGTTCAAACCCTCAACCTGGGCAGTGCCCTGACTGGGAATCTGCCACCTTCTGTTGTATGGGACAATGCTACAACCAACTGAGCCTCACCAGCCAGAGCCAGAGTTTATTCTTATATTATTATTTCATTATTGTACTATTTTCAATATAAACTGTAAACCTACTTTTGTCCACCCCTTGTCTTTTATTGCAGCTCGCAATAAATTTAGTTGACATAACATTTAGTTCTGGAATAACAAAGACCTAGGTTTCAATCCTGCCTAGTTTCAGCACTTACTACTTGTAGGTATGACCTCAGTCAAGTTACTTAACCTTTTAGAAAGTAATATTGCCCTGACCCGAGTGGATCAGTGGTTAAAACATCAGCCCTGGCACTGAAGGGTCTTGGGTTTGACCCCTGGGCCCGGGGTCGGGGCACATGTGGGAGGCAACCAATTGATGTGTCTCACGTCGAAGTGTCTTTCTTTCTCTCACCCCCCACCACATCTTGCACGCTCTAAAAATCAATGAAAAAAATATCCTTGGGTGAGGATTAAGACACACACACACACACACACACACACACACACACACACACACAAAATGTTTAGCAAATATATGTTATGTTTAGCAAATATATGTTATGTCGTAAAAGCAGCTAATACATGCTACCTTTTATAATTATGAGCATATGCCATTATAGGATTCTTAGTGGAAAAATGAAATGATAACAAAATGATATAAATTTGCCCTGGCCTGACTAGCTCGGTTACAGCATCATCCCATACAGCAAAAAAGGTTGTAGGTTAAATTCCTGGTCAGGGTACATAGCTAGGTTGTAGGTTCGAGCCCCAGTTGGGGCATGTGTTGGAGGCAATTGATCAGTGCTTCCCTCTCACCTTTCCCCACAAATCAATAAAAACATATCCTCGGGTAAGGATTTAAAAAAATGACACAGATTATATATATTTTTTAAAATGAAGTCAAACAACTATATAAATAACAAATAACTTCACATCTCATATACAGTAAGGAATCCCTCAATATAGTAAAGTAATTATTGTGAAAATGTGTATTATTTGTGTCTTTTTATTTATTTACATGTTTGTCTTTATATAGTGGTCACACATATAGATATTTTTTGAGTAACAGGAATCAAAATTTTAAATTATGAAATGTCACTAAACATTTCAAACATATAAAAAACAATCAGATTTAACAAACGATAGTATTTTGCCATGTTTGATTTTTTTTATCTAACTCATGTATACCCTTGAAAACATACTCATGTATCCAATTAATTTTGTTTTTAAGCTTTACATATGTTATAGTGCATGTATAATTCTTAAGCTTGTTTTTCCCATGTTACTGGAAAATGACTAGATTTTAATATTGGTACAAAATCTGAGAAAAACACATTTAGATCAGGGGTCAGCAAACTTTCTTAAAGGGCCAGATAGTATATATTTTGAGCTTGTGAGTTGTATGGTTTTTGTCACTTCTGCTGTGGTAAGACAACAGCCAGACAGCCCATAAATGAATGAGCATAGCCATGTTTCAATAAAACAGGCATACCTTGGAGATATTGCAAGTTCAATTCCAGAGCACTACAATAAAGTGAGTATCTCAATAAAGTGAGTTCTAATCGTTTTGTTGGTGAGGGTCTTGCCTTCAGTTTGTAAGAAAAATGCAACCTCTGAGAAGTGCAATAAAGTGAAGCACAATAAAATGAGGTATACCTATAGTTTGCTGACCCCTGATTTAGATGATAGATTTCAATTATTAAGTTCTGCTATGGATGAAATGAACTAAGATTAGATCATCACAACTATACTAAGTCACTCACATTTTGTTCACAAAGAAGTTTTAGATCATCTCTCTGAGGGGAACTCCCCACACCCCACTGTGCCTCTAAGTCATCAATCTGATTTGGTGGATGGTGCATTACTGGACGAACATCACCAGCAGCAGTTGGATCCACAGTCAATTCTTTCACCCTGTAAACACATAAGAGGTATCTAAAATAACACAGATGTATGCAGAGGAACAAGAAAATACCAACTTATTCAATATAAAGGCATTTGAATTTAACATATTAAGATTGATGATGTCAACTTTCCAGATCAAATCACCTGAAGTCTGTGGAAACCCTAAAGGGTTATTTAGTTGTTTAACTTCACAAATTTATATAGGTAATTACTTCAAATATAATTATTGTGCATAATAAATGAGAATTAGCAAAGTAGGTAGATTCAGTATTTCAAAGTAAATAAAAAACTGCTGCTGATATTAAATTATTTGAACAGAAAAATGCTAACAATGGCACTTAGATCAATAAATGAATCATTGCCAAAATTAGAGAATTTAAAACACGCTGTAGATTTTTGGGAGTTCTAATGCTCAATTTAAAGAGCTACATGTGAAATAATCTTATTCTAATGTATAAAGATTAGAAAATGTAAATTAATTCCATCATTTAAAAAATGCTTAGCTATTATACTTAAATTTACACATTTGGGAGAGTTTAAGAAGTCAAGAAGATCCTTGCAGGTATAGAAATTTACAATAGCATACAGAATAAATGCTAAATATGCAAAGATGACATCATCCTTAAAAATATAAGGCAAAATAAGAAGCCTGCATTCTAAATGAACATTTTAAAGCAAATAAATTAACAAAGTACACAGAAATGAAGATCATGCAGTACAACCACCACCTGCCAAATAAAATGAAAAATGAAAAATAAAGTGGCTCAGGACAAAAGAAATGTAAATGAAATATTTATACAAAGCACAATTCAAAAGAAACTATTAAAATAAACATCTTATGTATAGAATGAACTAGACCTGGTAATCGAAGGAGAAAAGTCGTCATACTCATAAGAAGGAGAGAGATCAGGGCGACTGCCACTACCCTGTGAGAAGGGAATGTCTGATGGACTAATTCCAAACTCCTTTACTCTGCAGCACCAAAACAGCAACAAATTAAAATAAAATGCTCTTGTAAAGACAGCAATGCAAATTTCAAATTTTCATTTAGCACTTAGTTTAATTTGCTTATCAAAGAACATCAACACTGTTGTGATTTAATGTACTTAAAATATTTTAAAAATAATACGTTTTAAGATTTAAAAATCCCTCTGTCCTATTGATTCCCTACTACACAGTCCTTCCTTTCTGGTGTATTTTCCCCTTTCCTCATGATCCTTTTTGGACTAGACCCTCACTAAATTTGAAATGCCCCCTTTTAACTACATGACCACTTAATCTAATTTTCATGTGCAATCAATACCATGAATATTTTGCTTATTAGCATTAATGAGTCTTCAACATTCTTGCAGTCTTTTCAAACTGAACAAAGACAATTAGGTCCTAATGACATCCATTGTTTATAACTAATTAACAAACTTCTTTATTATGCATATAGAATGGTATTAGCTATGAAGCATCCTTGGTACAAAATGAGAAAATAGTCAATCAATTTTGTGTTTGGTGATTCAGATGAAGAATGCTGGTTGAGAAAAGCCTTTAGCAATGGAATTTAACTTGCTTTTGCTAATGTCTTAGGTTACATTTAACTAAATTATGGCTTTTCTGACCCAATTTTTGTGATTCCTTATATTCTTTTCAGGTCAATCCCATTGCATAATAGTAGACGATATTTATTAAATACTTCCTATATGTCAGGTATTATTAGTAATTTATAGGCATTATATTATTTAATCCTTAAAATAATCTTGTGATATTATCGCCATTTTCCAGATGAGACATTGGCTCAGAGCACAAAAGTATCTTACCCAAGGACATTCAGTACGAATGAGGCATAACTAAGCTTCAAACCTAACTTTATTATAAATCTTATGTTAAACATTTCATATACTAACCATATTCTGTTTCTCTCACTACTTAAGTCAAACTAAATGAAAGTACTGTTTTTTAATAGTTTAAAAATAGTAATATAGATCAAATTAATAATTTAATGTACATTAAACTAATCATTTCTATCTACAATCATTCTTTGCCCTAATGGTAATGTTCAATACTGGATTCATCTGCCTTTTATCCTTTTCAGTCACTTTGGAAAGCTAATTTACCACACATGCTGACAAATATACATTTCTAATACCACTTGACTCTTTTTACTCTTAACCCCATTTCTTTTCTTATTCTTTTAAGACTCTCCTAATTCAGATACACTGTTAGCCCCTAAACACACACTTTCCCTCTAATCAAAGCTTTCTTGCACAACCTAAACTCTACTATATGCAGCAATTACTTATATTCCTCTTGTAAGAACTATCAGGGAAGGTTGAAATATCTTTATTTCTAGAGATTTGGAAATTAGAGGCAGACTTATTTGTCTCAGATGGTTAGACATATTGCAAATTAATTACATACTTGAAAATAAAACATTTTAGCTGGACCTAAACAAACCAGAAAAATGCCAGACAGAGCATTTTCACATTAGGGGGATTTCTAGGCAGCCAGAAGCCTGAACACATGGAGGGTTTTTATCTGTTTCAATTCTACCACATACTATACTAAGCTGTTCCTCATCTCTCCCATAAACAATTTTGAAATAAGAGGTATTTTAACTTCATGATTAAAACCCCACAGTACTGCCCTGGCCGGTTTGGCTCAGCGGTTAGAGTGTCGGCCCACGGACCAGAGAGTCCCAGGTTCAGTTCCCGCTAAGGGCACATATCTCAGTTGCGGTTTGTCCCCAGCCCTGGGCTGGGGTTGTGTGGGTGGCAACCAGTCGATGTGTCTCTCTCACATGAATGTTTCTCTCTCTCTCTCTCTCTCTCCCCCTCCTTCTCTCCCTCCAGCTCTATCTGAAGATAAATGCAAAAATGTCCTTGGGTGAGGATAAAAAATAAAATAAAAATAAAAACCCCACAGTACCAAAAGTATTCACTACAAGGATCAAATAAAAGTCTTACACAGTTTGCAGCTATGAGCTCATAATTCAAAGTTTAAAAGAGATTAAATTTAGAAATAAAGCTATTATATTTTACTATCTTTTTACAAAAGACCAATAGGTTTATACTTTCCAACAGTTTTTACTATAATTTAAAACATGTCTTCAGATGAAGCAAAAACAAGATACAAAAGAACAAAGGGTACGATCTCATTTATTTAAAGTTCAAATACAGCTACCTATGTTGTTCAAGGATAAACTCAAAGGAAGTAAAATTATTTTTAAAAAAGAGGAAAAATTAAAACAAGAAAAATTCTCCTTAGAAGTCAGAGCAATGGCTGCTTAGAGATTAATGAATTTGGGCATTTTATTCAGTATTCACGATCAGTAAGGGACACATGGGGAACTTTTGGGGGGTGGTGCTGGAACAGACTCTTTCCCAGTCTGATGACAGAAATTTCATTTTATAAGTATTCATTAAATTATTCATTTATATTTTGGGCACTTTTCTGTATGCACAAGTATTTCATATTTTAATCAAAGATTAAATATAAAATTTAAAAGAAATAGAAAATACTTGTACTCAGCAAAATTAAGAGACTCTTAACACTAGAAAAGGAATACAAAGGAATTTTATCTCTAGCTTAAAATCACAAAAGCAGTGTATGATAATAAAAATTTTAAACTATAGTCATTCAAAAAAAGTGCAATAGAAACAATCTGTGGAACAAATACAAATATGCCCATCATAATCCAAAATTCCAAGGGCATTTCATGACTACAAGAAATAAACTGCTTTAATAGTATATAATGCTTTGTTCTCCTTTCATCTGTAAATATCCAGTTACCTATTAAAGTTTATACCACTACTGACATGAATAATAAAATGTAACCCATACAGAACTGTGCTATCACTACTTATTTCAAAACCTAGATGCCCCATGTATAACATTCAATATTATCAGAAATAATTTTCAGTATATGGCAAAACAATTTAAGAAATACAGATGGCCCCCCTGATAGTGAGTCTTAACATACTAGAAAGAATATGCATGATTCAAATGTGGTAAAATATTATGAGATGTAACTTGGTTAAATAAAAAAATATAACCATGTTCTAGGACAGAAAGACCAATTCTACTAAATATATAAATCTCTCCCCAAATTATATAACACATTTTCAATTATTTTGAGAACTTGACAAAATGATTCTAAATTATCATGCAAATTTTTTTGAAAATGGAAATAATGTAATAAGCTTAACCCTATCAGATATTAAATCAAATCATATACTGCTCTAGTTCCCACAAATTTCAAAATGGATAACCATTTCTCATACCTATTTGCATATCTTAATGTATTAAGAGTATTTTCACAGGATGCCATTCCTGGAGAGATTGTGGCAATCTATGGGGGAAAAATGCAAAGGTAAATAAAGTGTTATAAATGATGAAGATAGTAATACTGATATACGAGGTGGGGCAAAAGTAGGTTTATAGTGTGAGTACGTGAAACAGAGTTAATTCTTATATTTTACTTATTAATTATTGTATTATTTTCCATACTTACAACTGTAAACCTACATTTGCTCCACACTGCATGTGTGTATTGATATCTGAACTCCAAGATAACTTGCTATCTTATGCTCACAATCAGATAATTATAAACTTCAGTTACAATATAAACAGTTTTCTGAATTCACCAGAGTGATAAAAATCAGGCAGAAAATGGAGGTCAAAACCTAGAAGATGGGAATAATACTAAATGATTTTTCCCGACCCCCTTTAAGAGCTTTACTGCCTAAAAGACAAGCCCTGCTGCTGCTGCTGTCACAAAGAACTAAAACTTCATTAGAAGCTAGAGTCTCACTTGTTAAGAAACTAAAAAAACAGAGTTTGGAGGTGGGGATCATAGCAGCCAGAAAGTGAGGTTTGTCCCAGAAGAGACAACTACAGAGGGAGAAAAATCAACTTATGTATATAAATTGCCCAGATCTCTGGCTGACTCCTAAACTAAGTGTGCCCAAGGCTGAATCCAAACACATAGTTAAGTTTAAAAGAGATAAACAGCAGAGAAGACAGGAGAGTTTAGAGTAAGTTCAGCTAAGTTAATTTTCTGTTACACAACAACAACAACAAAAATCAATAATCTTTAGAAAAATATAACAAAATCCAAAGTGTCTATAAGGTATTCATTCATAATAAAAATTATGTAATTCAAAATTACTAGACATATGAAGAAATAAAAAGTGTAACCCATATTCAAGGAAATTAGAACTCAATGAAGACCAAACTCAAGAATAGTCAGATACTGGAATTAGTGTACTGCATTATAACCGCATTATACTCCTCTCTATCAAGATTGTCAGGGACTACATTTTAAATATCATCTCTCACAACAGAAGGGTTTAAATGACTGTCATCAATGTATATTATAGTTTTTTCCTAGATATTATGTAACTGTTCACTTGGGATTAAAAAGAAAAACCCATAAACTTACCATGCAGGTACGTGAGTTTTCACCTATGAATGAATCTCTTAACACCTGAGTGAGTTTACTTGCTCGAAAAGGAGTATGAGGTTTATTTCTACCTAAGGCTCTGATGCACTCCTGAAAATTAAGAAAGAAAGTTTCAGAGAGTAGGTTTCTTATAAAGAGTAGTAATCTTTAAAAGACCTCTTACTATAATTCTAACATTTAAGATCTGATCAGCTCTGAAAATGCAACTAACAAGTTTACAGCATAGTAAAGATGTTGCCATAAATCCTAAATCATTAAATAAACAAAAAAAAACACAAAATAACAACTGAGTCCTGGCAGGTTGCTCAGTGGTTAGAGCATCGGCCCTTAGACTGAAGGGTCACAGTTCAGTTCCTGGTCAAGGACATGTACTTGGATTGCAGGTTTGATTCCAGGCCCCAGTTGGGGTCATACGGGAGGCAATCAATTAATGTGTCCCTCTCACATCGATGTGTGTGTGTGTGTGTGTGTGTGTGTGTGTGTGTGTGTCTCTCTCCCCCTCCCTCCCTTCCAATCTATCTAAAAATTAATAAAGAAATATCCCTGGGTGAAGATGAACAAAAACAAAACAAAAAACAACCAATGAATTATTATTTCAAAAATTCTTCTGGAGACTATGACTAGTGTTTAGAAGTGACAGGAAGTAACATTAACTATAAAAAGAAACCTTTAAAATGGCACCACAAAAGAAAAAACACAGAATGCTTTCTTGTAGTCCTGCCAATTTTTACTTTTCTAGACGAGAAAGAGCTCTAATACTGGCCTAACTTTTTGAAAGCATTTTCACATTTTTCTGAGAAACTATTTCTTCATTCATTTTTGTGGTTCCTTGCCCTTTTCCATAAAAACATGACTGATTAGGGCCCTCTGGAATCTCTCCAAGTAGCCCTGGAATTGGCCAGCCAACTAAACAGATCTTTTATCCACCCTAAAAAATAAATAAATAATGTGTATAAAGAAAATTTCTGTGTACAATATAAATCTATATCTGCAAATATAATGAAACAAAATTGTTGTAACTCCTCCTACTTATTAGACAAAACAAGTATTTTATAGCTGAGTAAATATAATTAAAATAAAAAGTAAAAGACTTTTCATAATTAAATACATTTTATTTACCTTGAGTGCTAAAAGGCTTTTATTAATTTCAGCACCTTCAAGCCTAGTTTGCCTATCTGCACTGGAAGTGTCAGCTCCTCTTTCATTTCCAGCCAAATCGATGAGAGAAAATTTGCCATGTAGTTTTCCTTTCCTTCTAAGTATAATCTGAAACACTGCATGGCTCCGAGATGAATGTGCATTTGCAGATGTTTGCCCGGATGTTCTACAATGTGATTGAGGGCACTTAGATACATAAAAACTTTCATTTATGTTCAAAACAGAGTATGTCATTAAAAAAAAAAAAAACAACCAACAAAACTATCCAGTTTCCATCATTTATTACAAAGGAGCATTTTCAGCAGACAACATTTAAACATAATCAGATTTATACAATTTAATGTGGCATACTTCTAGCATATTTGTAGTATGTTATCAACAGAATCAATATCACTGAGTTACACATAACGACAAAAGTTTTTATGAACAATGATTTTTACTTCCAAGATGCACTAAATAACACCCTCGCTTTGTTTTTACGTTATAGCCAAAGTATATAAAACTGATTATAAAATTAAGTTTCCCTTTCTTAATTAAAATAAGATTTACCTGCAACTGTTGCCTATGTCAATGAGTTTCAGTACATCTTCAACACATTTGACCTCCCGTTCCTGTAATCCTACCACTTGAACCTGCTGTTTTCCATCTTCTAGCACTCTTAATTTTGTTTTCCTGTTTAGCAAGTCGAACACCTACAAAAAAAACAAAAAGTTAAATTTAAAACTAGCTTTAAAGAAAAAAGAATTAGTCATTCAAAGTCTAAAAATTATTTCTAAAGCAACAATTTTTTAAATAAAGTGCTCAATATTTGAGCTAAAGGGAATTAAAAAAAAATCTCATAACAAAATTCTAACACAATATTCTAAATACATATAAAAATTATGTGGTAGCAATGGTTGCACAACAATGTAAATGTACATGCCACTGAATTTGTATACTTAATAATGGTTAAAACAGTAAATTTTGTTATGTGTAATTTCATCACAATTTAAAAAACTAAAAACAAAACATTTTTTTTTTTAGGTTTCCACTTACTTTTCCACTGTAAATTTCAAAAAAGGTTGCATACACTTGAAGTTCTAACTTCTTATAGTTTGGCTTCTTTAGCATTAAAAAGACATCTCGAGCTATCAAGAATTTCATATGGAGAAAATTTGTTAAGATGCAACAAATACTATCTTTAAAAAGCATTTTCAATTTTCTATTTTTAGAAGTATCAGTTAATCTTTACCTACATTAATAACATCAACAATGAAAATGAAGACTAAAGTAAACATTAATGTTACAAAAGATAGTTGTAATAGTTATTTTTTTACACTTCAGGTTTAGATGCCCCTCTCTTTCATTATTTAATAAAAGGACGCTATCTATCCTTATAAATTTCATAAAATTTTAAGTGGTCATAATAAGGTTGCTCTCATTACCATACCAAATGGAAGCTTTTCACAAATGATTATTCAACAATAAACAGTAAGCTCCAACAATGTGACAAAATAACATAATCAAAATTTCTGCTCCAAATGCACAGTTCTTTCAAGCAGTCTGATAATCTCAAATTGACATAATATACAGTAAATATAGTATTATAGTTACTTTAAATTTCTGGGCAATATGCCCGTGTCTTATTTCAAAGCCACCTGAATAATATTCAATAAGAATATTATGAATGATAGGCAAAAAATAAAACACAAAACATGGTTACCTGCTAATGCATAAATTCCTTTAGAACAATCTTGGTTCTTTCCTGAAAAGTCACCTCCCATAGTCTATATGTTAAAAAGAAAATAAAAAATAAAAGACATTTTTCAGAAATAAATCTTAAGAATTTAGGTCTAAGAATTAAGCTATAAGGAAAATAAACTAGCTTCATACCAGGATATAACTATAATAAATTACTTACATGAGTTTTTCCACTTCCAGTCTGCCCATAAGCAAAGCATGTAGCCATTCCCCTTTCGAATATAGTTTCTACTAGTGGTCTAGCTGTAAACCTTAAAAATAATAAGCACTAGTTATAATGCGTCTACAATATTTAAGTCAAACAAATAAGAAATAAAAGTAATACAGGGTCTTATTAATAAATAAAACTTATACCAAGAATTTTTTTTCTTTTTTATCCTCACCTGAGGTCATTTTTTTTTGCATTTATCTTCATAGAGAGGGAGGGGAGAGGGAGGTAGAGAGAGAAACATCGATGTGAGAGAGACACATCAACTGGTTGCCACCCACACGACTCCAACCGGGTCCGGGGACAAACTGCAACCAAGGTACGTGCCCTTAGCAGATACGGAACCCGGGACTCTCCGGTCTGCGGACCGACACTCTAACCGCTGAGCCAAACTGGCCAGGGTTATACTAAGATTTTTAACAAATAAATAAGCTAACTGTAAGGCTACAATTGAGTCCATTGATTTGTTAACAATTTAAAATAACTATATCCTAAAAGTCCTTAAAGCACAATTTCAAGCAATAAGTCCATAATAAATAATAATCACAATAATGATAGACAATAAAACTTGACAGTAACTGAGCTATGACATATGTAGAAAAGTTTAATAATTAACAACAAAAGATGGTAATACGAGCCAGATAACTAAAACACACAGGGTGGGGGAAAAGTAGGTTTACAGTTATCTGTACAGAAATTAATATAATAATTAACAAATAGTAATGCAAAATAAACTGTTTTGTGTACTCACAACTGTAAACCTACTTTTGTCCCACCCTGTATATAATGAAACCAAACAAAAAAGAAAACAAAAAAACCCCCAAGTTTCCATAGAAACAGTAAAAAAAAGTGGTAACCTCAATAGAGAAAAGCTAAGGAGAAAAGAAAACTACAAAATCATTATCTTATACCATCTAAACCAGCAGTTCTCAACCTGTGGGTTGTGACCCCTTTGGTGGTCAAATGAACCTTTCACAGGGGTCACCTAAGACCATAGGAAAACAAAATTACAGTTATGAAGTAGCAACAAAAATAATTTTACAATTGGGGGTCACCACAACATGAGGAACTGTATTAAAGGGTCACGGCATTAGGAAGGTTGAGAACCACTGATCTAAACAAATAGAAAAGTGGTAAGATTTCAATGAATGTGTACAAGTAAAAATTATTCTTATGAGAAGCTGAGTTCTGAGTTGATAGTCTTGATTCAAGAAAAGGATGCCAAAACATTATGGTTTGAATTATTTTTCAAACCTACAGATGTAATCACCACCAGAGTTAAAATTAAAGGTAGGAGGGAAAAGAAATATTTTATCAAGCAGAGCCCTAATAGAAAGCAAATCTACTTTTTTTTGTTTTGTTTTGTTTTTTTCCTGTATAAAAAAGGATCCCAGTATCAAGGTAAAGAAGGGGAGAATAAGGGACATACTTCTTGGTGTAAGGAAATAGGAGGACAGAAGGATAATCGTCAAAAGGAAGGGGAGGGGGGGAATGTCATTAAGGCAGGCTGCAACATATTCTCTAAAAAGTTAGAGTAAGCATCTCTATAGCCCTATATAAAAAGATATACAAGGGCCTTCCTTCTCGGTGGGGGAGGGGGGGGCTTCTCCACTCAAGTGTTCAAAGGAAGGTAAATGACAGCTTCTCTTCTCTTGCAGCCATTCTGCTGCTCACTCTGGGTTACCTTCTGCCTTTTGTAGATAAGAGTCCTGCTGGGCTCAGAAGGCAGAGATTCGCTTGTGTGGGTTAAAAGTCAGCATCTCCAGCAGCAGCTGTGCCCCAGACTCCTCCATCTCAGATATCACCGACTGCACTGGGTGGGGCCCTCTGGTGGAAAAGGCTCCTCTGGGTAGAGACACATCTCCGGGCCAGTCATCTTCTGGGGGAAGCCCAATCAGGTCAAAGATTTTGTCTAACTGGTCAGCTTCAGAGTTTCCGCAGAAGAGAAACTTTCGATAAAACATCTCTGCAAAGATACAGCCAACACTCCGTAAGTCCACAGGTGCTGCATACGTAGACTGCAGAAGAACTTCTGGAGCACAGTACCAGTGTGTAACAACCACGAGTGTAAGTGCCATTTGGTAGCTGTAGATTCTAGCCAGGCCAAAGTCAGCCAGCTTGACTGTCTCAGCACTTGTCACGAAAATGTTCTCTGGCTTCAGGTCTCAGTGAACAATGCAGTTGGCATGAAGAAAATCCAGGCCTCTTAGAAACTGGCACATCAGATCCTTGATGGTCTCCACTGGCAAGCCTGGTGGGGGTGCCTTGTCCAAATAAGTCCTTAGATCTTGGTCCACATACTCAAACACCAGGGTCACTTTGATCTCCCCGGTCAGTTCGGGCAGTGGCACAGACATCCATCCGCCGGTTAACATTGGGATGCTCAAAAGCCTCCAGCCGCCTCAGTAAGCCACTTCGCGAACTGTGCTGATGGGAAAGCCCCCTCCAGCACCCCCTCCGTTGGGGACTGTCACCCTCTTGAGGGCCACAAAGTGGCCACGGTGGGGATCACGAACCCTGTACACCATCCCATAGGCACCAACACCAATCTCAGCCACTGGCTTATTATCGAGGGGTAGCCATTTTCAGATCACAGGAGACCTTTACCCCATGACCGGAGCTGCAGGTGCAGCCCGTTATCGGGGCCGGGAGCGGGTTTTTGGGGCACCATACACTCAAGCTCTGTTCGGAAAAGCTGGATGGTACGGGCCCAACCATAGACACAGGCCGTAAACTAGAGCGATCCCCTTACCCCCACCCTCACCATGTGACCAGCTCAGCAAATCTACTTTTTATATAGACTTCAAAATAATATATGTCAAACAATTTATACAACTCTGCTGATATATATATACAGTTGTCCCTCACCACTTCGTGCTTCCGTGGCTTCACTCTATCACTGTTTTTTCAAATACACATATTCATTAAAAAGTTGACTGAGAGTGAAAACGATAAAGCGTACGCTCGGTTGTATGAATCAATTATACATCCCTGTATTACAATTAAAATTAAAATAGCTGTACCTATGGACTGTAGGCCTATGTATTTGAGCACCCCCACAAATCAGGTGCAACCACTCAACCACTCCTTGAGTGCAGGCAATAACTTTCCCCCCAAAATATCGAGTGTGGTGAAACCAAGTCAATCAGAGCATGCTGTTCACTGATTGGCTCAGCCTCATGCAAGTTCGTTTCTCCCATAAACAATTCTACATCGCTACACATGGAAGCATCTTTGCTCTGGTGTTTGTGATTTATGAAAACTTTTATCTAAGCCCCACGATGGCTCCTAAACGTGCTGCTTCTTCTAAGCCTTCTGACGATGAAACTAAGCGCCAGTGGAATATGCTTACCATCCAGAAGGTGAAACTCTTGGATATGATCAAAGATGGCAAGAAAATTGTGGAGGTTGCCCACCATTATGACTTGAATGAGTCTACGTTCGCTCCATCTGTAATGATGAAAATAACATCCATGCAACGGCTACTGTCTCTTTCAACAAGGAAGCAATGCGCGTCGTGACAAGTCGTAATAAGTTCACAGTGAAAACGGAGTCTGCCCTGTTTGGATCAGCGACAGCAGCAAGAAAAACATTCCATTAGATTTGCTGGCCATCTGGGAGAAGGCGAGGCAGCTCTATCAGCGCTTTACGGCGGATGAACCTCAACAAGGACCCTCTTCTGCAATGTTCATGGATTTCACGGTGAGCAAGAGTTGGTTCGAGAAGTTCCAGAAGAGGTATCATCTGAATAGTGTCATTCTCCACGGAGAAGCTGCCTCTGCTGACCAGCCTGCAGCAGAGGACTACGTGAACAACACGTTCCAGAAGGTTTCTGAACAGGTGTTCAATATGGACGAAACAGGACTGTTCGGGAAAAGAATGCCTTCCCGGACATTCATTTTCAAGGACGAGGCCAAGGTCCGTGGCTTCAAGGCATATAAGGATAGTGTGACTATCGTTATGTGTGGAAATGCTGAGGGATTTTTGCTCAAGCCTGCACTTATCTACAAGGCCAAGAACCCTAGGGCCCTGAAGAATAAAAACAAGAACCTGCTGCCAGTGCACTGGATGCACAAGGGCTGGATCACGAAGCAGCTGTCATCAGACTGGTTCCACAAGTGCTTCATTCCCCAAGTCAAGCTGTATCTCACGGAGAAGGGACTCGAGTTTAATGTCCTTCTCCTCATGGACAATGATGCAGGTGATGTGCAAGACCTATCCTACGATGTTGTGCAGACCGAGTTCCTTCCTCCCAACACCACTTCGCTGTTCCAGCCCATGGATCAAGGCATTATACGCACGTTCAAGGCCCTCTATACTTGAAACACCCTGCAGCACCTCGTTGAAGGCAGGATCTTGAGGAGAACTTCTTGCTGAAGGAGTACTGGTGGCAGTATACCATTGTGACCTGACTGAAGAACATCCAGGCCACATTGAAGGTCATAAAGATGGAGACCGTGAAGGCCAGCTGGAAGATGTTGTGGCCTGAAACTGTCGACAACAGAGGATTCACCCCAAAGGATATAAGCAACTCGGCAGTGGATTAGGCAGTTAGGCTAGCCCAGATGCTGGGAGGAGAATGTTTCATGGATATGACCCACGATGACATGGATGAGCTGCTGGAGACACATTTGGATCCCTTAACTGATGAGGATCTGGTGGAGATGACTAAGTCTGCAAGTGAGGAGGAGGAAGAGCAGCCAGAGGTTTCTGGGGGTCAGGAGGAGAAAGTTGGCCTTACACTTGAGTCTTTCTCAAGTCGTGAGAACTATTAAAGTAGTACAGGACATGACTGGCGAGTGGGGCCCACAAATGATGCGTACATTGCAGTTCTGGAATGCACTTGATGGAGCGAAAGAACCCTACAAAAGCCTCTTCACGCATATAAAAAGACAGTGCCAGCAACTGCCTATCACGATGTTCTTCAGCCGTGCACCCAGACACCCACTGCCTACTCCCAGTACTCCTTCAGCAGAAGATGACGACGCACCTGCTGAAGATACTGCACCACCTGAAGACTCTCCTACTGAGGTCGTGCCTTCAGAGGAGCAGTAACCTTGCTCTTCTCTGCTGAGCAGTACATCTCTTCATCTTCATTGCTTCATCATCAAACAAGCTGCACTATTTTCATAGGTTAGTGGTTGTGTATAAGAACTGTATGTGTGTGTGTGTGTAATTAATGTACACTAACAATATGTTATTTGTAACATCTAATATGTCTTATTTTCTCTGATTCTGTCTACTATATTGGGTAATACGAGTATAATGGTGACTAAAAGGTGTTATTTCATGTCTAGAGGGCTCTAACAATGTTAAAAAACATATTTAGAAGGTTGTAAACAGGTTATCTATGCTCTAACTGTGAAAATATTTGATTTATAAATAAAGAATCCTACTTCGCAGAAATTCATTTACCGTGGTAGTCTGGAACTGATTAACCACAATAAACAAGGGCCAACTGTATGTATGTATGTATGTATGTATGTATGTATGTGTGTGTGTATATATATATATATATTTTTTTCCTTCCTTTACTGATTTTAGAGAGAGAGGAAGGGAGAGGAAGAGAGAGACAGAAACATCAATGAGAGAGAACATTGATTGGCCGCCTCCTGCATGCTCCTCACTGCAGACTGGGCCCACAATCTAGGGATGTGCTCTGACCAGGAATTGAACCAGCGACCTCTTGTTGCATAGGTTGACGCTCAACCACTGAGCCACACAGGCTGGGCTGCTGCTATATTTTTTTAAGGAACAGGAGAAGATACAGAACAAAAAAAGAACAGAAAAAGTTCTAGAAATGAGCTGCATTAAACAAGAAAAAGTCTAATTCCTCAATCCATAAAAGTTAAGGATAAGAGAGGGGGTAGAATTAATATTGGTAAAGTTAAGAAGCATAAATACAGTCACAACACAGAATGTTTACTAAACCTAGCATATACAAAAACATACCTTTGTTTATAATAATTTCTTGAGAGTGACTATAAAAGGCAAACAGACATTTTATAGGCAGCGAGTGGAAGTAGAGAAGAGAATAGGGGGAGGGAGTGGACTCCATTCTCAAAAAAGGTAAAAAATATTTAATTTATAATTATAATTCTCTTTTAAAACAATTTTTTCACAATATTTCTATCTCATGTCCTTTAATTTTGTCCTCTTTCTTTACAACTGAACTCCCAGTTTGCTAGCTTAAGACAAATGGAGTTGGGTTTCAACACTTTATCATTTATAACATCTTTAATTCTTAGGATACTTAAAAATTCTTTTTTAAAACATTATCAATCTATTGATTTGAGAGAGAGAGAGAAACATCAATTGTTCCACTTATTTATGTATTCACTGGTTGCTTCTTGTATGTGCCCTAAATGGGGATTGAACCTGAAACCTTGACGCAACCTTGGAGCATCAGGATGATGCTCTAACCAACTACCTGGCCAGGGCAACTCATTAGAACTCTTCAATTGTCTGTTTGCAGTCATATTTATAAAGTAAAAAGGCAACAAGACATAGCATTAGAGTAAACTGTCAAGTTCTATATAGCATCATTGTTATTGCAGTTTGAAATAACAATGCTGCCAAAAATGACCTGTTATAATAATTAGAGGCGAATGTTTACACACTATCTATGAAAATTTAAATTTGGCATAAAAATTTTGGATATCAATATATTACACATGTAAACTTGAGCTGTTTATAAGTTGAATATGTTAACATACAAGAATTTCATGTATTAAAACTATCCCAAAGCTCAAAGACGATAAAAATTAGACAAATGCAAATAGATCTACAGCACTTCCCCCCCCCTTTAAGTGGTAGTACAAGCTAAATAAAGATTTAGCCAAATTAAACTAATATACAATAAATATTTCAAACTTCTTTACTAGTGTAGGAATTAAAGAGAAAAATAAAAGTCCTCTTCTAACTACTTCCCATTTCTCAGGGATACAAAAATGTTAACATTTTTTATAAATTTCCTATCCAGACATATATTATGTGATACGCATACAAATAAATTAATCAGTAATGAAAACTATGATTTGGGGGAGCATTAAAGAGAACAAGTGTTACTATTTATTACAGTGTTTATTACATATTCTTTGTTTAAACTCAGAATACAAAAGCATATAACATTCTCTGGAGAGATGTGCCAAGATCAATTAAGTTGCAGGGTATAATAAATACATGGTGTGAGAATAAAAATTTACCTACCTGTAAACCATTTCATTAGGAGCTGAGTCATCAAAGGCATAATCAAAACGAAATGTTTGGTTTTCTAGGTACCTTGTTAAATCTACTTTTTGTTTTGGTTCATGTACCATCACAACATCTTTACTAGGGATTGTGATTACATCAAGATCTTTCATTTGAGTTTCTAAAAGAATAAATGAAAATGAATGCTCAGAAACTTTTACAGCATTTGAATTAATGTACAAAAAGTAATAAGTTCTGTAAATATAAATATCCCACTCAGTAAGCAGAGTATTTCAACAATAAGGTAAAAAATAAACAAGATTTCTGTGAAGCAAGAACCAGAAATGGCAATTATTCATCAAGCAGTAACAAAATCAACAGATTAACCATAGAAATCTGCACAATGGTTATGTACACATGAAATGATTTACATTGAACTGTTCCAAACAAATTTGATTTCTGCTATTACAAAATGAAAATCAACATTTTATTACAGTTCAATAAGCATCATACCTTTTTTATTGAGTGGCCGTTTTCTTACACAAACACATATCCTATGTTCATCAATCTAGAAATAAAATATTTTATTTTAATTATCATCAGTGGTACATAAAACAATAAAAAGTCAATTATGCAATATTTCCTTCAGAGATTTTGGAAATTTATGCATGGCATAAATAGGATAAGTAAGTTTAAAAAAAACATATTAAGCCCTGGCTGGTTTGGCCCAGCAGTTGGAGCACTGGCCTGTGGACCAAAGAGTCGTGGGTTTGATTCCAGTCAAAGGCACATACCTTGGTTGCGGTTCGGGGTCATGCAGGAGGCAACCAGTCGATGTGTCTCTCTCACATCGATGTCTCTCTCCCTCTCTCACTCTGTCTCTCTCTCTCTCTCCCCCTCCCATTCTGTCTGAAGATAAATAAAAAAATATTCTCAGGTAAGGATTAAACAAACTAGTTAACTTGCACAAATTTTAATAGTTATCAGACACAATTATTTCTAAAAATTTGAGTATAATGGAGACTCCCTTATTTTGTTATTTGGTAAACCATTAGGAAATAATCTTGTAGAGGACACTAATAGTCTTAATAGCATTAAGCTCTTGTTAAGAAGCTGCCTTATTAACTTTAAGATGTGTTGTATAAAACAAGTAAAATTTCCTACCAAGTGGTGTATTTTCAGGTAGATTATAGGATAAGTTGTTTGCAAAGATAACTAACTATATAGGTAAGAAACATGATTCCCAGGAGATTATTGCGCAAAATAATTTGAATATGCCAGTTCATACACATAAATATTTTCCATAAAATTTATGTTCCCAACACTTGTCTTTTAATAATATCTAACATAATGCAGGGATTGGCAAAGTATGACCTGCAGGTTTAATCAAGCCCACTACCTCCTTTTGTAATGTTTTACTAAAACAGTCATACCCATTCATTTGTGTGTTGTCTATGACTGCTTTCATACTACAAAAGCAGAATTGAATAGTTATGACAAATACCATTATCATATGGTTCACAAAGCCCTTTTCAGAAAAAGTTTGCTAAGCCCTGTCTTAAAGTATGAGCTCAGAAAAAGTAGGTTACACACAGGGAAGGGTAGCAAGGGTACCCACATGGAGGGGTACTCAAATATAGGGGATACAAATGTTATGAACTCAATTATATCCTATATAATACATCTGCTAAATACAAATGTATTTTGTGTATCCAATACTACATTCTCTATATACTAGGTCAGATGGATTATTTTTCGTTAAGTACCAATTACAAAAGTATTCCCTGTCCAATAAATTCTCATTCTTCAATAGGAAAAGAATTGAGTAAAAAGACAGCAGAACACTTTTTGAGCACTAAATTTCTGGTCTACTACAGTCCTCAACAAACATCACTTATTGTTGAAAGCCAAAATAATATAATAATAAAATGGACAGTGGAACCTATAGCACAAGCCAAAAAGGAAATAAAGGAAGTTGGGTGTTTAGACCTAACTCCTTTAATTGTTGCTCTGCCCTACCAAAAATAAGGAAGGTTTTGCTTTGAAACAGACATTCTGTGGGAAGCATGTCTGATACATCAATTATGGAAGAGAAGCATAAATGTGGATGATTTCATGATTTTCTTAAAATGTAAGAAATGAGCACATAAAGAAAGAAAAATTTACCTAGTAAATACTACATTAATTTAGTGGGTATCAAGCATGTTTTTAATTCAGTACAGAGTTCCACAGCAATGATTTAAAAAAAAATCTTACAGGATCTGCTGTTGTTAATGGTCTATAATCCAAACTTCCTCTAAAGTCTCTGATCATACACATAATTTCATAATTTGGGTTTGTAGCATCAACATCCTGTAATAAAACAGAGAATCACATATTATAATTATAGTAATATGGTATTTGCTGCATTTGTGTTATGTGGTTTGGAAATTAAACTAATAGATTGTCATTTGCCCTAGCTAAGCCCAGACTCAAAACTGAAGACATGACATAATTTAGCTTCAGAGTTATGACTAATCAAATGCTCAGGAATCACTTTTGTATTTAAAGTACAATTCTGGCCCAGCCTGTGTAGCTTAGTGGATTGAGTGTCGTCCCATGGACTGAGAGGTCCTGGTTCAATTTCCAGTTAGGGGTGTGCAGGAGGCAGCCAATCAATGCTTCTCATCTCTCTCTCTCTCTAAAAAAATTAAAAAACAAACATATCAATAAAAGTAAAATTGTGTTAGTTTACACACATTCTGTTACCTCTAAACCAAACATTCCTCATTAAAGCTACCCTTGACCTATTTAAAAAATTCATGTTATTAATTATCCCACAAAATAGAGCAAACAAGAAATAGTGCTCATCTCTAGAAAAGCTGAAATTCTAAAAAAATTCATTTAATCAGAGTCTTCCCAATTTTTAATCCAGTGTTTCAGCAAAGTAGAAATATGGATTCATTTATGTTCATTTTCTATTTTTGTTGACTCTCTTAAAAAACACGCACACACACACACACACGCACACACACACACACACACACGCACACACACACACACATTAAGGCATCGTAAAACAGCTCCAAATCGATAGGACACAGAATTTAAAGAAATCCAAAGCCAAGATAATTTAAAAATCTTTAATATTCAAATTATTCAACACTGACTGCTATGGAGGAGAGACTGTTCTAAGACATAACCACTTCCTGACCCTGCCTCACTGCTGCTGACCCTCCAGCTAGATCCAAATAGATCCTGCTAGATATGGGCCAGAACAGTGATGTTTCCTACTTAAATACCCTCAGAGACTGACCCTTCTCCTATGCCCCAGGCACACTAGTTCCTGAAAGAGACCCTCACCCTGCCCTTGGCAAGTATGTAAGGCATTTTCCCCTCATCTGTGGCAAGTCAAACCCTAGTAACCCTATCCATCCTTCTCTGTCCTATATAACTCTGCGGCACCTGCCACATGACAAATATCCATGTCTTCTTGCCACTAACCAAGACTGCCTTAGAAGTAAGTTCCCTTAATTAACTATGTAATGATGGAGTTGGCAGCCATTCTTTCTTTGGTTACTTGGCCTAGGGGGAAAATGTTAAGCAATTTACTTTGCTTCAAAACCGAGAAGATTCAGATTAAGATGTAGTAAGTAGCAATAGTTAACAGCCACTCCTAGGCTACTGAACATTCTCAGAAGTCATATTTTTCATACACCATATGCAGATTTGTTTTGAATATAATTAAACATCAAAACTGTTAATGAAACTTACTTTCAAGTAACCTTCTTGTAAGAAATAATACCAACTATGTCAATTGAGAAGTAGTATGCTAAAGTGGAAATTAAGAGATCACAAAGAGATGTAAAAATATGATGAAGTACCCAAAAGAAACACCAGGTGGCAGCTGTGCTAAGTATCAATAGATCTATTTTGTGTATTATTTATTTCAAAACCCAACTGGTCATTCTCAGATTATCTTTAGATAGAAGCTGATTTACTCAGGTTGAATGTTATACTGGTTCCACAATTCCCAAGCACAGCATCCTTATAATTAAGGGCATTTGAACATATTCCTAAACTAAAAATAAATAAAATCCTGTTTTATTATAGGAAACAAGTTCTGAGGATATAAGAACAATGGAGGAAGTATATGTACAATAACAGAATCTTTAATGCGAGAAGACCTATAAAGAGATAAAAGACCAGTTCTCTTTGCAATTTTTCCAATGTTAATAAAGTTTTGCTACCATCTAAAGGGAATACGAGGAGCACAACACAGATACACTCTCAGTGTCTAGTATAAATCAAAACACAAGAAATTTCCCCACTTTCAATGTGTTATGTTGACCTTATTATTAACCATGAAAAAACATTAAAATTTATAACATAATCAAGTACTTTAATTGAATATTTTTCTAAATGTAATTTTAGATACTTTTAAAAAGTCAAAATCTTATTATTCTTTATTAGAATTCTGTAACACAATAGTATATTATTCAAAATGGAACAAACTTTAGGACTAACACAAGCCCACTAAAACATGAAAAGTACATGTAGTAAAATCCACTATAACTTATTTTTTTACAAGACTTTATATTATTCCTCAATATTAACTTAAGAAACTATATTAAAATCTTCAAATGAACCCTCAACTACTTTTTCCTCAGCCAATCACTTCCATTGACACAGTGATCTTCAGCTGGTGCACAAACAAAATGTGTTTCTATTACAAACCTGGGCTCTTTTTTCTCTAAGTTCTTGCTGCTGCAGTCTCCTTTTTTCTCGTTTTTCTTGTAATTTTTCTACTTCTTTCACGCAATTAGATTTCCTACGTGCTGAAAGAAAAACATGAGCTACTGTACTTATACACAAAATTGTATGTATAATTTCGCCACATAACTAAAATACACAGTGACAAAGCATGCCTATAACAACTATGTGAAGTTTACTTAATGAGCTGCTTTAACAAAACTAGGAACAGGACAATATACAAATAAGAGTCAAGAAAAATGACTCTAACATATTGATACATGTCATCTCTTGGTTTAGAATCACAGATCTTTGAAGCAAAAAGAGTAAGAATTTATTCTGTAACATCTGTCAAATTATCATCTGCCCAGATTTTTAAATTCAAAATAACTGAAATACTTATAATTTTATAGCAATAATTTTTTAAAATCCAAAACATACATTTAAAAACCCAATTAACAAACGAACAAGAAAAACAAATTTTACAGTGGTAAAATGAAATCTGCAATCAAGTTTGCAATGAAGACTGTTTACCATTTGGGGACTTATAAAGATGACCAAGAGAGAGTACATGTATGCCTAAAATGACTGAATCCTTGATACATGATTTACATACAAGGAGGTCCAAATTCCTTTTTTGCAGCTTGAACTGGAGATATATCTGAAACACTACCATTCTGTTGTGCAGAGGAAGACTGTTCAGGAAGCTGACTAGGCCGTGCACGTGCAGAACCAACCACTGTAAGTAAAACAAAAATTTTAAATTCAGAACAGAAAATTAGTAAAGGTGAAATCTTGGTAAAAGAAACAGAGGTGACTGAAAAGAACTGATACTTAAAAGCTGCATTTGCAAATCACCACGTTTTCTACTTATGTGTGCATAAACAGAATATATAAATAATTCTATTCAATAAACTGACAAGCTAAGAGGTTTTCAGCATATTATGTGCAGATTTAGGTGCCACCAATGTAGTTTTAACTACCAAACTCAATGAATAACTTATATAAAAACCAAAGCCAAGATTAATTTTTAGTAATCACTAAAAAATATAAGTGTACAAAATGTGAATTTTCAATGCATTCTCATTTTGAAAAATGTACACAATTCACAACCACAAAAAGTAAAAACTTAAGTCCTTTAACCCATCTGTATTCCAAGTCCAATTCTTTGCTCCTCAAATATTCTCTTTGCTCCTTAAATAGAGAATTTCCTACTGTGGATGTTCTAAATGTGGAAAAGAGCATATAAATTAAATATAAGTATCACATTTTACAAAGAAATAAAAGTTTTCACAAGACTCAAAGGATAGTATGCAAAGTATACAGGACTTTACCTTACTTCCAGTCTCTCCTCTGATACCTATGTCATCCTTCCTCATCATCCATACATATAGAAAAACATCACTATAAGAAAGTACCACTCTGACTGCTGAATAGTAAGTAAGAAATTAACTATGTTTATATCTCCTGGCTAAAATTATATGGAAGACCTGCAATTAACTAAAATTTATACCTGTTCAACTTTTTTTAGCTGACTCTGAAGTTATCCAGGACCCTTTTTGGAAGCTTGTTAGCCAAAAAATTATGTAAAATGTCATGATGATTAAATTTACCCTTGTGAAATTAAGCAACAGACTACTTCCCCATTTCCTTCTTTATCATAACTCTCCTCAAACTGGAAAAATTGGGTAAATAAGATGAATCAGAAATTGCATATATCATGGAGCTTCATATTCTTCATGTACCTTTATAAGTAATTTTTTTATATTATCAACATTATATTAGGAAACTGAGATACTAATCTTAAAATTAGTCATGTAAAATTTAAATAAATAATAATGTCAAGGGTAATATTTACTTTTTAATATTTTTTTTCTTTATTGATTTTAGAGAGAGAGGAAGGGAGAGGGAGAGAGAGAGAGAAACATCGATGAGAGAGAACATCAATTGGCTGCCTCTTGCATGCTCACCATTGGGGATCAGGTCCATAACCTGGGCATGTGCCATGACTGGGAATCGAACTGTCGACCTCTTGGTGCATGGGTTGATGCTCAACCATTGAGCCACGCCGGCCAGCCAATATTTACTTTTGATTTACCTCGTCAAGGCCAATAGGTAAAGTTAATAAATTTTTACTTTACCTCTATTATCTCTTGGAGGAGGGTCATTCTTAATAGAAGCCACAGTCCGTCGATTCTATAAAAGAGAAATGTTCATTTTACTTTCTCACTTTACTCCTCATCAATATATCATAATCAGCTTTCTTTGAACAAAACAGGCAGACATAAAATAATTTAAAATTAAGTGGAGAAAAAATACAAATAATCTTCTAATGAATTACTGCTATTAATAGTAAAGTTTCTCATGAGTATTCTCTGCCCCCATAATATTCAGAAATAATGAGCCAGGCACTGCTCTAAGGATTTTATATGTATTAATTCATTTAATCTTCACAACAACCTTATGTGTTCATTATTATTGCTATTCTGGATTCATACATGAGGAAACTGAAGCAAAAGAAGGATAAGTAATTTCACTAAAGTGTGCACTTTTAAAAAAAATCCTCACCCAAGGACATTTTTGCATTCATCTTCAGATAGAGTGAGAGGGAGAGAGAGAGAGAAAAACATCGATGTGAGAAAGACACATAGACTGGCCGCCACCCACCTGACCCCAACTGGGGCTGGGGACAAACTGCAACCAAGGTACATGCCCTTAGCAGGAACCAAACCCGGGATTCTCTGGAACATGGGCTGCCGCTCTAACTGCTGAGCCAAATTGCCAGGGCTAAAGTGTGCACTTTTAATCATCATGTTATCCTGCCAAAACTATGTAACACATTTCATCTTTGGATGTCAGGGAGAAATTAATAAAACACTAATTTTAGACAACTTACAGCCTGTTGTTAAACTGAAATATCAAAATGAAATGTACACTATCAGTTATACTAAAAGGTTTATTTAGATGTTCAAAAACCTTATAGATTAGGGCAGCAAATTTTTGGTCCTATTATTTATTTACCAATTCTTCATTTTATATACCTAAAATAAACCCAGAAATAATGCAGTGGTTCTCAACGCTAACTTCACATTCAAATCAGATGTGTATTATTAAAAAAGGTATTAATGCTAGAGCCTTTCTTTAGATAAAACAATCTCCAGGAGCAGGCTTAGGAATCATTACTTTAAAAAAATTTCCAGCCCTGGTCAGTTTGGCTCAGTGGCTGGAGCATCAGCCTGCGCATCACTAACCAGAGAGTCTGGGGTTCGGTTCCCGCTAGGGGCATGTACCAAAAAAAAAAAAAATTTCCAGATGATTCTAACGCACTGCAAGTGTTGCTAATGACATACCCAGAAGTATAAACTATGAAGATCCTTCAGGTTGTAAAGCCAAATATGAAAAATACTGTTTACAAATGGTAACTAATGACCTCTAAGCAGTGATTCTCATTATACTGAAATCATATGAACTAAAAATCTGCCTTATGTTCATATGCATGGTAAAAGTAGGTTTTGTTGATATTGTTAAGTCTCTATGTATATCTTCCTTGAAAGATAGCGAGTTCATTCCAATAGGGTTAAAGCCATGTCATATTCATCTTTGTAGGTGACAAAATCAACAATGTAGAAAAATCAACAAATGCCTCTCGAATCAAATACAAAAAATTGTAAATTCAACAACTTAGAGAGACCACCCAGTTTAAAAAGAGTTGTATTTTTATATAAAATTTTAAGAGTGAAAAGTTTCAATAACAATGAAAAGAAATTATCTTTTAAAATAATGAAAATAACATGCCTTTTATTTTTATAAAGATAAAACTGTTAGGGAGGATATAGCAGCAAAATTTTAAAGTTTACCTTCACAGATAAGACAACTGGAGTGAGAATTTATTATGAATAATAAACAGTCATTCTTTATCAGTCATTTGTATTCACTCAACAAACACTGACAAGCAAATTGTTTTGATTCACATTTCCTGAGAAGCTGTAAGTCTTAGGAATAATCCTAATCAGGCAAGGAATTTCTAGGATTTTATTTTATGATTGTCATAATTGTGAATTAAACAGCCTCAATCATTGAAAATATGTGTGTTTATACATGCATGTGAATGGCAGAAAGCATTAAAGTTTTTTTTTTAAAAAAAAAAAACAACAAACACTTGAAACATACTCCACATAGCCTGCCAATTTCAAACTGTAACACACACAAATCTTGCTCTGAATTTTCATCACTAACCTTTACAATTTTGTTTACTTTAGCTGAGGATGGTGGAGGTGGAGGTGTTTCTGGACTGGGTTCAATTTCTTCATCAGGTACAAGGTCAGGGTTAAGTGAAAAGATGCTCTCCAAGTCAATCTGTTTTAAAAACCGCATGTATTTTGAGTGTATTTTGACAATTAAAATTTTATATTTCATATAAACTTACAGAGAATAAATGTTAAATAATTTTAGCCTAATGATGGTATTGCTTCAAAAACCAGATTATCTAGAATTATAACCAACATATAAAGAATCTCTCTTAAGATCACATTTTGTGCTCCTAATCACATAAGATATGCAGACTTCTTTGAGTGAAATTTTAAAATTATTTGAAAGCCTTTCAAGGAATGATACATGCACTATATAAAAGTTATATATTTTCTTTCCTGTTTTATGTTAAAAAACTTAATTACAGAAATAGAAATAAAATTTAACCCAGTGATCTTACCTCTTTGCCTTTTGTATCTCCATTTTCTATCCACTCAACAGTTACACTTTCATTATCTTCATTTAAAGATGTTACCATTGCTTGATGTATTCGGCCTAAGTAGAAATAAAATACACATTTTTAAAAAATGTCATAAATTATAGAATGCCTAACATTGTCAAATACAATTTTATAATTTACAAACTGTTAAGACTATTATACTGCTTTCCTTACAAGGCATTTCCCCCAGACTCTCAGGATTAGGGAGTGAACTTTGTCCGTGAGAAGTCAAATTAGCTACTTGTCAAGACCAGGAACTCAAGAAACTGGACTGCACTTACAAGTTTATTTCTAACATACATGATAAATGGTTAAACTGTGGCACAGAACACCTGAAATTTTATACTGTTAAATTTATAATTATTAGGAAGTTTCCTTACTCTAAGCCAATAATGATTCTGTTAAATATAGAACAAAAATACATAAAACAATTTTTAATACTATATTGATATAAAATACTTTTTTACTTAAAATTCATTATCATATTATACAAATTAATGATGTTAATATAAAATTATTGAGAAAAGAAATCAGAGTCCGAAAAGGTTGGGAAATGCTAATCTAAAATGCTCCTTTTCTGCGTGTTGCCTACTGAAATTCATTCTACTCCATACTTTCTCTGTTGACTCTAGTATTTACCATCTGAAGAAAGAGCATTATATTTAATATATTAAACTTGTTTTCCCTCTCTTAATAGGCGTGGATCTTATCTGTTAATAACTATAGATCTAAGTAATTATTTCTATTTAAGTAATATTATTACATAATATTCCATTGTTTATCACAGCCTATTTAATACCAATTGATGGTCACTTTTGAACTCAGTTGTCCCTCAGTACCTGTAGGGTACTGGTTCCCAGACTTTGGATAACAAAATCTGCAGACTGAAAACAGTACACAAGTATTCAGTGGAGAGAAAAAAAATATCCACTTTTATGTGAATCTGCACAGTTCTAACCTGTGTTGTTCAAGGGTCAACTGCACACATGTCATACATACACATATATATTTTACTTATTTCATCTGTTTTCACCTTACCCACCCATTTGATTATTAGTCAAGTAAGGTTAGAAACTGTTTGTTATATAGCTACATCTTAAATATTATCTAATACAATGTATTCCCTAAATAAAGTCCTTGGGGCATCTATAATTTACCTTAGGATAACCTATAGTTCTTGAAGTAATTTGTTTTCAACTGTTTGCCATTAAAAATATTAAAGTGTCTGTACACAGGCATGAATGTTTTCATAAATAAAATTTCTACAAGCAGAATGGGTAAAATAAACTGAAACTGATATAGATATTCCAAAATTGTCCTGTTTACCTTCCCACAAACAATGGGACCTATTCCTCTACACCTTCATTAAAACTGAACATTAGTAACTTAACATTTTTTACCAGTCTGATAGGTCAGATCATTCTTTAAGCTACTACTTTCTAAGCATGAATGTCAGGGAATAGCTCATTTAATCTACATTGGTTCATTAAATGTAATAAATATACCTATGTAGTAGATTATCTCCATTTTAAAAATGAGAAAACGGAAGCTCATAAGTAGCTGACTAGCATAGATTTGAACCTTGATCAGATGCAAAAGTTGCTATTATCACTATGCTTCTCTGCTTCCCTATATTAAGCTGATGAAGAAGCCTATGTGGCTTAAATTGCAAACACCCCTGTAAAAATGTATAAACTGTAGCATAGATTCTCAGTCCTCATTGTATATCAGAAACTTCTAGGGAGCTTTTTAAAAATAAAATGATGATGCCCGAGTCTTACTCCCAGATAATGAATCATTTCTTAACAACTCCACTACAAGCAACTTGGTGCAAGCCACCAATGCCTCGATCCTAAATTACTGCAATTCTCTCCCAACTAGTCAGACTCCTTGCTTCCATCCTATCTGCCCTTCTGTCTTTTCTCCACAGAACAGCCTAGACATCTCTAGTAAAAACTAAGTCAGATTATAATACACTACACTTTGCCCAACACCTTCCAGTGCCACCCCCTGCCCCCATCTCACACAAAAGTAAAATCCAAAGATCTTCCAATGACCTATAACAAAGTCTTATATAATCTAACCATTCTACCTCTGTGATCTCATTCATACTTGACTGGTAATTCTCCATTTTACTGGCTGATCCTTATCTCATACAATATTCTCCCACCCCCACCCCAAAAGTTCTAGATGGGTCAAGGACTTAATTGTGAAAGGCAAATGTAAATGAAACTGAGTAGATACTGGTGCCATTTACTGAGGTAAGTTGACATTACAGGAGAAGCAGGTGTTTGGGTGAAGGAAAATGATGAGCTGGAAAATACTGGGAGGATGCAGAGGAACTTAAAAAAAGAAATTAGATAATACTCACCGCACTTTGATTTGGACAGAAATAAGGTAAATAACCAGTAGAAGTGCTGTGTATTATGTATCAGTTGGGTCCTCTGGGAAGCAGATATTGAAACAGTTAGGAGGATAAGAGATTTACTGTGAAAGTCAAAAGGAGGAGGAAATAGGACTGGGCATGGACAACTTTCAGATCATGATATGGATCTGAAACCCGTGAAGGAGAAGGGATATGAGATTGTTTAATAAATGAGTAGAGATAGGGGTTTCCACGCAATTATCAACAGATATAAACCCAGGATTGAGCAGAGATAGACTCAGACCTTGATGCAGATGTGACAAAGTCTTGACCAATCAGCAGGGAGCTCCAGAGGAAAGACTGCTGATTGGAGGAGTCCCACACTGGGCCAAAATGTAAATACCCTAGTAACCACACTGTGCTCAGTCACTGGCTACAGGTTTCCCAGAAAAAAACAAGACCTCAACTCAAAAGCTAAGGTGCCTGAAGTATTAACAGCTAAAGGCTGTCAGCTAAATGCACTCCCTGGAGCTAAAAAAAGTTCTTTCTTAAAGACTGATATCCAAGCAGTGCATCTACATGGTTGTTACAGGATATGAAAAAGAGAAAAATTGAGTTTCACTGGTAGTAGAATTGAAGAGTAGACCACAGAAAGGCATGAGCTGGTCACCATCACTATCTAGGAGGAGCTACCACAACTTGCATCAAGCCCCAAATTTACTACCATAAAGAATAACTTACACCAGGAAGTGGAGAGGCCGTGGTTGAGGTTGTTGAAAAAGAGTGCAGATAGTGGTGCAATTACTAACAGGATTACCACAATGATGAGAAGGGGAGAAAGTGTGTGCATATTCCAAAAGGCAAGACCAACACTACCATTCCTACAGCTAAGCACCTACCACAATATCACAATTTCCTAAGGAGGAAGGAGTGACACAGTGTACTGATAACTAGGTGTGAGAAAAGGCAAACCAGAGGGACAAAATCTGTATTAGGACTATAGGTCACAGTTTCACAGGGAACTTAACCTCTAAAAACTGTGTAAAGAAATTAGCAATGAAGAGTATAAAGAAAATCAAGGAGGTAACCACACAGTATCAGCAATCTTCTCAACATCGGTACCTCCACAACTTCAATCACCAAAGCAGACAACTCAGAAAGCCTTAAGCCACAAGCAACAGGATCAAAAGTGGCTGGTCCACCAGTTAAGATTAAGCTCTAGAAGTTTAGCAGGGCAAGACTGAGAAAATGTTGGCTTATTGCTATCATGGTCCAGTTTATTCCCTTAAGAAGAAGAGATAAATAGGAAATTCCAGCAATAAGAAATGAATAAAAAGCCTGGATTTGAATGAAATCTTACGTGTTTATTTTTTTGCCAGTGGATCAGATTAGCAGAAATATCTGCAGTACCTATGCAGCATGGAATTTTTATTATTTTTACCAAAAGGTGTCTCTAAACATTTTTAAGCCTGACTTTTCCCAATATGCCTTTAAAGTTTTTGAACAAACTTTTCTATACGGTTCAATTAAAATATACTCAAATACTTCATTTTTAATTGTAATAAAAATTTACAATTTAATTTTTTTCAAAAGTTATAGAGTAAGCATCCATTAACAAAGGTATTAAATAATAAAACAAAAAGAGGGACCAATATACATGAGATTTTTCAAAGGAAAGGAATCATTGATTTAGTGATAACACAGGTAAAATAGAAAAGGTTTGAGCCTGGATAACTGCGAAAGTGATACTAGTATCAAAACAATGAGATATTTTATCTTAAGTCTCAGTTGTAAATAGGACTCATGTACCCGTATTAATAAGACAACTATAGATATAAAACTACATCTCAGAGACAAATCAGGATTAGAAATATCTTTCCCTAGAACCTGAGACAACCTTCCCATATGGCCCTCAAAATACCACCGTTTTTCTGGTTTGAGAAAATTCCTGTACTTCATCCTCACTAACTATGCCCTTTGACTCTCTGATTCCCTATTTACTTTATTATGAATTGTATCATAAATACTTCTACATTTAAAAATAATAACAGAACAACTCCCGTGTCCACCACCAGCCAGGTTAAGAAACAATACCTTTGAAATCCCATATGTCCCTTCCTTAAGTGAATCTCTCCCTCCCTCCCCATTTCCCCTCCACCAGAATGGACTATCACTATTCTGTTATTTGAGGTAATCATACTATGGCTTTTCATTGTAGTTTTACCACTTGTAAATGTCACACAAAAATCTAAACAGTTTGCCTACTTTTAAACTATGTATAGATGGATTTACACATGCACAACACTATTTTTCAAAGATACATTTATGTTGTTGTATATAGCCATAGTTCACTCATTTTTAGTGCATATGAATATGTCAACATTTATTCCTCTGTTGATGGACATCAGGTAGGTTTCCACTATTTGGAACAATGGTGCTGTAGGCATTCTTATACATGTGAGCTGATACAAATATGCAAGAATTTCTCTGGAATATATGAGAAGAAATGTAGAAGACACATACATATAACTTTTCTAGTTAGTGCCACAATGTTTCCTATACTAGATGTGCCTATAATGATTTGTAATCCCACTAGCAATTACATCACATCCACAATATTAGTATTTGTCAGATTTAATGACTCATATTGTGGTTCTAATTTCTGTCTTAATGAGGTTGTGCCTATTTTTG